TTATCCGCTATATACAACAGCAGTTAACTATATACAAAATTATCCTCACGGAGAGGTTGTCCTACGTGGTCAACTGCACTACGAACGTGATTAATCAGCCTTACCCTTAACCTACACCAGAATAACCCTCACGGTGATCAGGATAAACCTCACAGCGATCAGGGTAACCCTCACAATAACCAGGTAACCCTCACAGTGATCAGGGTAACCCTCAAGTCTAAATAAATAATCTACTGATGGCTTATAACTGATAAGTCTTGACCACACAAGCGAATACAATCTTCGTAATTATACAACACAACAGGGTAGACTTATACAACAATAATCTCTACTTCCTTACAAAGCAACACAGTTCCTAAACTCCAACAAGGTTTAAGGTGACTTAAATAACCCTCACCCTTTTCAAGTTATTACCAAAATAACACAGGTAAGTTGATTAAGACGGCGATTATAATAGTTCACATTAACTGGTTCACACGGGTTCCCTAACCCTACAATCTACTGCTTCTTAAATAAACGAGACTGTCTAACGATTCCCCAATCTTCAAAGAGATCTGATATAATCGGCAGCTCCGACAACTGAGGGTGCACTGCCCAATTCAAGGGAAATTCTTCGGCAGGCCGAGGCGCTGAAAAAGTACCCCTACAGTTTATTTGGAAAAGAGGAGATTGTGTGGCTCAAGAATTTGTGGGATTGTAAAAGAATGGCCCAGAATGAACTCCCTAGATTCAAGGGCTCCCATCCTAGGGCGAAGCATAGAAAAATGACACTGAAAAATTGTCCCAAGAGCTTGAAAAGGTGGAGGGATGTCATTTGAAAAATGGCCGCTGACAGACTTGGTAACGTTCACTTTTTGGAAGGTGAGTTTGTTTTGGGTGGATAATTAAAAATTTCATTGGTTAACCTACTAAAAATTGAAAATCAATTGAGAGCTGATTGACCCCAGAACACTTTGTTTTTTGTTTGAGAGGCCTGAGGGACTTCGGTTGCCCGCACCGGGGCTGCAAACGTGGTCGATTTTACATTGTCTTCAATGGGGCTTCAATTAGTTCAGTGCACCCCTGAGAACAAGCACCACACTAACCGATCGCACCAGGTACACTTGAGGTAGATCCCCAACCACCAGCGGTCGTACGTCAGATCATGGAGAAATAAAACACATTTCTCCATGGTCAGATTTACACTCGAAACTCAGATCACAACTCCACGGAGCTCTGGTTAGCACGCTGCCATCTTGAGAAGTCCCGGCTTGCCACCCACGCAGCAAGCGTCCAGACCTAAGGTAATGCGCGTCTCTGATTGGTTGCCGCGTGCATGTTTAATGCATGGTTAGACGCGCCTGTATGATGTTTGAAGCATAACTCAAAAGTTTCTGGCGCGAACTCATCATATCGATGCGCCGAATGTGATATATGCGAGAGTGTAAGCACGCATTACGTGTGCTCTGTAAGTCAGTGCAGCGCATAAACTTTTTAAGTCTTTTAAAAAAACTTCAAATGGGCCCACAGCAAATTATGTGGTAAGGAAAATTGAACTTGCTTCCCAGCAAGCGCACCACTGATTTCTACGCGGGCGAGAGCCAACGCGGCGCTATACGATCTTTGGCGAGAACTACTAAGGCCTCTTGGACAAACTTTGCCAATGGGTGGCGCTATATCGTATGCCCTTCCAACCAACACATCATTTCAACACAACATGCATCATTACATGATTTACCAGTACTAACAGCCCAAGTAGCACTCAGGTTACAGCAGCATACCATGGACCCGATATGCCCAAATCTAAAGTTTGTCTGCTTGGATCGGGTTGCTGAGTTTATTGCAAACAATCACATTCAGATTATCAGCTTTCTACAACTACAAGGTATCTGTATTAGTTTTTAACATGTTTAAACGCATGCAATCTTTGCGTTACGAAATGTAACCAGTCCATGGTCATGACAGATGGTATTAACGTTAGGCTGATGTTACCATGTTGGACGTTGTCTTCATTTCATTACGACTAACGTCCCCGGGTATAAAGTTGTGTACAAAACGACCACAAATTTGGTTCTAATTTGTTCTTGGTTTACCGTGTTGAAGAAACTAATTTTTCATGTTCGGAAAGTCAAGGCATCCGACAGGTGCTGTAGATCTATGCATAATTCATGTTGCCACAGTAGGCTATTGCTTAGGCCATGCATGGAGGAATAAAACACATGGGCCATGAGAATGAAAATTATAGATTTGTGTCCACTGCCCGCATGGTCCAAAACACCCTGCCAAAACGTTCATTATTAAAAAAAAATTCAATATTTTCAGAAAAATGTGGGAATAAAAAATGCATTTCAAATCCTAAATCATACAGCAGTAAAAGGGTCCAAAATCCATATATACGCATACCTACATGTACGGGTACCTACTACACGAACGATCAAATTCTGTAAGACTGTATTATATGCATGCGCGTAAAGCACTGCCCTGGCCCGGCCGGGGAATACATTATGTAAGTATCCACCAAGCATGGACATTACTTTACAGTACATGTACATGTACAAGCAATCCCATTAGCGCTGCAAAGCCGTGCAGCTTCGTCCTGTTGCATGTCGACTTGCCTTGGCCGGCCGCGAGTATACAGAACGCTGCATGATCCAATCAAAACTTGTCAAGTTCTGTTTGCAACCTTGATGACCTCATTCGCCTTATATGGAACGTGAGGTTGTGGCTACTTGCGGCTGGCATGCCAATTATGGAACTGAATATGCATTAAGCTCAGTTGAATATAGGAAGAATTTAGCAGTGTCATCTACCAGGGAATGCAGTATATTGCATATTGCTGTTGATCTTTTGTGAATTCTTACTACGTACATGTACTTTACATATTCATTCACAATTTCATTGCACTTGGCCACTCCGCGTTCTGCACACTGTCATATACAAAAAATAATGAATAATGAAAAAAAAGCCTCATGCTTTTTCAAATGTTCCGGACGCAAATCTAAAACTTTCATTCTCGTGGCCTTAGTAATAAGTTGCACACGAACTTTGCTAGTGTACAGTACGCCCACAGCACGTGTGTGGAGCATGACACAGTGACATGCATATTAATTTTATTCAAATTTAATTTCACCGGTTCGTTCCGTCTGTTATGCAAGGTGTGACAGGGAGCCAAATTTGTATGGTACAGTGTATACCAGAGCACCTATTGGGTTCCTTGAAATCCGACGCAAGAAGCGCTGCTTTCATTTTTTAAATGGTGCTGCCCATGGTCAGCATAGAATTATTACAGGCCCATTTATTAAGCTACCATGCATCGAAAAATATACGGTTTGGGAAAGCTTTAGGGTGTTCATATAAAAGTCTAAACTCTGAGGAATATGCCGGTGTAGGTAACATTGTTGAGTAATTCTCATTTCGGAAGATATTAGGATTCAAAGTTTGTGACAATCCTGCAGTTTGGATTTCAGGCGTTTAAGACATGCCTTGAAGTAGGGCTGTGGTGGCGACAGAAAAGAGACAGATTGTAAAAGAGAACCACTACAGCCCTATTTGTGAGGCTAGCCTAGGCCTACACGATACTGCCTCATCATGTTTATCGCAAATACTGCTTATGGGTGATTTTGCGCAATGGTAGAAAGGCATTGTGGGAAGGAAAAACGTGCAAACATTGAACCTTTTGCCTTTCCACAATGCCATTATACAATGACTCATGTTGTATTTGCAATAAGGCAGTAACGTGTTAGGATGGTTAGGCCTAGCCCTCGACTGGGGGCCACTCTATTGCACTCCCTCCATATCCTTGACCCCATAACGGTCAATCCAAAAAGTGGAGACACCGCAAAAATGTTTTCTTTGAATCCCTTTTGCATGTATGGATCACTCACCCCATTTAAGCACCGATCTACATGTATTTGGGCGATTTCCAGTTCTTAGAAGTGTGTGAAATTTTGGTCTCAATTTTGGGCCATTCATTCACTACAGCAATTAACTTCTGATCTTTAACCAGTGCCAAGTATATGGAGGGAATCTGGTGGTTCATTACCATTAGCACCCTGTTCCTATGATATGGAAACAAAATCCACTTTTTCAAACTAATTAACATGTTTACCTTAAGGAACCATTACTCAATCCTGATAGGCCTAGTTTAGTTAAATTTTGACAATATTTAAGCAAGAAAACTTCAAATTTCTAACCCAAGTTGGCATAAGACAACCACTCAGTCGAATCATGCCATGTCTGGTTACCCAACTCAGGCATTTTGGATTCATCAAAACAAATCTCCATCCAGGCCAAGGAACCAGCCTATATTCGTTAATTTGTCGTTCACAGCTCTTTGGGGCAGTCATGTACGCTGCCGTTTTACCCACAAATTTTGCCGTTTTCCAAAAAAAAGGTGTAAATATTTCCCAATCAGTGTCCAAGAGTCACATTGTTCACATACATGTACATGTATGTGTACTTGTGAAGACAAGCTACGACCCCCTATGAGTGCCTTATGTAGGATAGGATGTGGCTTAGTCTGCTTCTCACTGTTCTCAGTCCCATCGTTTTTGTTCCGTCATCGTCAGACCCCCTAAATCTATGCAGTCGTATTTCTATGCACTCACCTTTGCACTCACCAGTGAACAGCCAGCGGTTACTTGTATCGTTTTTCCAGATTCAAAAGTTGGCCTACAGTTCGCCCTCTGTTGTCTAGTACATGTATGTACTTTTAATGTATCGTGATGTCATCAAAATTTATTGACTCAGTGATGCTACAGTACAACCGATAAAACCAACTGCAACAAACGTACGCGTACATACTGGTCAAAGAAATGATTGTGTAATGCGATCCTCTGACTGGCTGATGCATGCATACGTCGTCATGGTGGCTATTTTCATTGGTTACTACCCACCATTTTGCGGGAATCCCTGATGTCCGTGCCGCCACATAATAATAAAAGGAATAGGTCAACTCGTACGCATGCCAACTCATATGCGAGCCAACTCATACACTGACCAACTAGTACACCAACCAACTCTTCATACATGTACATCAACCAACTCGTACATCATGTATACGAGACGCAAATACGCATGCAAATGTATTCTAATATAGCAGTCTTGCAGAGCAGAAATACATGTTCAACATGTACCTACATGTACATGATGTGATGGGTTCCTCGACGATTTGACGTATAGGATAGTATCGTTTGAAAAAGTACAGAAAAAATATCTGCAGCTGAAGTTCTGTTTCCAGCTGCTGAGTATCCGTACATCCCCTCCCCCAAAAGGTATTTTAGCTAGGAAATCAATCAATCGGAAAAAAATATAGTTGAAACACATGTACATTGTACATGTACCACCAAAAACTCTAAACAAAATCATGAAGAAAAAAATTTGCCTTGGTACATAATTAAAGCATTCTTCAAAATCCAAGTCCTTGTTTTTTTTGGTGGTCCAGGTTGCTTGGGAAGAAAAGCTGCCTGAAACTCTCACGTTAAATATCTTTCGCATGAAAATGACTTTCAGAGTCTCAGAGCACAAGGCCGAATGTATTTTTAGTTTGATCATTAGTGTATGAACTCAACAGTACATGTACATGCAACTACACAGCAAACAAGTTGGTTGGCGTACGAGTTGGTCGATGTATGTGTTGATACTAGATTTACAAGTTGGTCAGGGTAAGAGTTTGTGCATACTAGTTTGTTTCTGCATTCAGTTGGGGACCCTGAACAATAGAGGACCATAAGGGCCCCGATTGACAGAGGGTCCCTGATTGACAACTGTGTACAAAACATATGGGTGGTCTTCTAAAAAAGTTAAAGTACAAACAAAAGAGAAACAATAGGGGGTTCCCAGTTGCAGGCAAATACACACTTGCGTGAGTTGGCATGTGTACAAGTTGACCAGCATTCTTAGTAAAGCCATCACCTGATTTCTTGTTTTGGTACAGTCGTTTCCCCAACGTTAGTTCCGGATTGAGAAAATTATTCGGTCAGATTACCGCTACAAAAATCCTCAAATTCCAGTGAAATGTGGTCAGTAGTCCACTGCCTTGAATCTGTGTGCATCACTGAACATGGCAACAGATTTTCATGTACATGTATAAATCTGTCAACAAAACTGACATTTGTAGTCTTAGCATTTACAAATATATAAATCTGGTGTTTTGCAAATGTGTTGCATTGACACCAAAGGGTGCATGTGCACATCTCCTAAACTTTCCTCGTGCAGCATTGCCAAACATCGTTGTTGAAACATGCTGTTGGAACTTTGTAAACAATTTTAGTGTCATGAAATTTAGCCCTTACATGTACATGTAGTAACAGTGTCTGGAAATTAGGCGCAAATCAGCTGAGTGTTGAACCCTAACATGAACAAATCCCTGAGTATCCCACATTTACGTGTGGTCTTTAAGTTCTTCAAAGTTGAAAAATTCTCATAAGTATTTTTCTTGTTTTGAGGGCTTATTTAAAAGAGTTCAATTTGCACTTCAAAAAATCAGAAGGTTCAAAACAAAATTTCACTGCAACTTTGTAAATTATAGCCAGGATTTTTTAACAGGAAGACCAAGATCTTGATTAAATTTTGCTTAGCGTGAGTACATGAAGTTGGGTAGACCCTGTGAGTAAATGTAATAATGATGTACAAGAATTTATTAACTTTGAAGAATGACTTGATTACATGTACCAGTACTCATGTGGGGTTTTCTGAGGTCTTTGAAGAGTGCTGCATAAGGAAACACTCTGCCAAATCTGGGCCCAATTCTGAAAGCCACTGTCTTTGAATTGTTTAACATTCATGATGGACCCTGTCTGTTTTTTACGCAATTATCAGCATTTCCCTCTCGTCTCCTGAGAGACCTTGTGCCTAGGCTGAACGTGTGTGGCCTGGCGAGACTACATCAAGTTCTCCAGGGGAAAGGTAAACTAAACCTACATGTACATCTTCCCTCTTCTGTCAGCTCCAATATCCATGGATCACCAAGTTTTTGTTGAATTATATTGTGTGTGATGCATGTAAGGTGATGTCATAATAATGATATTCCTTTAAAAACTTTGAGTTGTTTTGTAACAGTATTCTCCTTGAGAGCCAATGTTGGCACTTAGTAATATTCAAATCCTCTTGAAACGTAGTACATGTACACCAAATCTCATCCACAGATCATGTGGCCCCAGTAATGATATAATCACAACTTCTTTATGAAATGTTGCTGATTTTTAACCACTTGCTGGCGGGTGGTTTGAAAAATGCAGTGCACATACATGTAATCGTGACTTTTCCAATGTTTTCAGTTTTCAAAATTCTTCAAAAATTCATCCTTTCAATTAATGGACCTTTACACCCACACAAATTACTGTCTGGTGGCCACTCTATTCTGACAGACAAAATCTATTGACGCCCGAGTATTTCAGCCAGGCCTGCAGCCTTGTAAAAAGAGCCCACAGTTGTGCAGTGTTATGTAACTTTCTTTTGTTCACGAACCTGGCACAGTGTGCTGCAGACCTGTTTTCAATAGGGGCCAGATTAGCGTGCAGCAGTGCTGTGTGGCTCATTGCCCACGGTGGTGGAGCGCTTTTGTCCCCGGTGGTAATCCGCTCGACTAAATGCTCCAAACCGTGGTATACTGTTTCAAAACAAGGCTGGATTATCTCCACTTTTGAAAGTGAAAAATGTCAGTAATGCCCAGCAGCCTGGTTCTTTGTTCCGAGTATGGTCTTTTGTTACACGGTCCAGTTCCCTTTGTCTGATTTCGGAGACCCCGGCCACGCGTATAAACACACCGTGCCCAAAACCGGGCTCCCTGGCAGGAAGTGGTTGAAACTTTACCCAACTTCCACAGATTTTGTGCACTTTTTGGCCAGCGTCTTGGCTACTTCTACTTCTGACACCCTCCTTAAGCTTGGTGAAACGACATACTCAACAGTCAAAAACAATGATGCCATGATATTATCAAATTATTTTTTGAGGGAGTAAATTTTTCTCATTTTAACTCAACTGCCGCAAAGTGTGCATATATGCATTTGTTTTAATTGGCATGCATGCATGGTACATGTACATACAGTATGTCCTTTCAACTTGCATACAGGACTGCATGTACGTTTGCACCTTGCTTTTCTGAAGCCTAACCCTTAGCACTGTAAGTCTGTAATCATGGTTTTTTTTGTTTTTGTTTTTTTTAATTATTCTTTAGGCATTGCTGTGCAGGAATACTGGTTGAAGCATTATCATCAGGCATTTGACCCAGACAATTTGGCGAGGCATTGCTCTTGCCACGACAGCAGTTTGGCTAGTGTTGACTGGCGACAGAGGCTTCTTGACAAGAGGTGTGAGCAAGAGCTTCAGGAGTTGCGTCCCATTAACAGCGACAGGACAGAAGATCAAGGTGAGCATCACTGTGCGCATCTTCAAACAGATAGTCTGTCCTGTACTAGTTTCTTTTTATGGCCATAAATCAGACTTCTTTAGTTCAAGGTGCCTAGCAGTGTTGTATCAGAGACCTTGATGTCAGAAACCAAGTCCGAGACCGTGACCAAGGCATAAGAGACCACGACCAAGACCAGACCTACTCCTTTAAGACCAAGACCAGGACTTTGAGACCGAGACTTTTGCAGGTCAAGACTGAGACCACAACATCCGAGGCCAAGACCAACCATAAACCAATGTTTAGTTTTTACCAAAAGATAAATAGGGACAAACATATGGCAGTACAATTTAAGTACAAAAGAAATACATGTAAAATGAAAACATTAGCATAAACTCAACACACAAATAGGTCAAATATTTGTTGAAGAATGTCTCAGTTCTTTTATCAGTGATAGTGCTCTATTTTACCCTGGTCTGGTCATTTTCAACCCGAGTGTCCCAAATGATATGATGTGAACATTAAAACAAATATCCTTAGACTGTTTTTTGTAAGCAAAATACTGAAAAGCAAATATCCCAAAAAGATGTACCGTTACGAAACTACTAAAACATACAAGACGGAATGAAAGCACTTTCACACGTCCGTGCACACAATTCATAGCATGCGCACACACACAGACTGTTTCCTGTCCCGGCCCTACGTTCAGCAGGAGACTATGTAGGGAACGGTAACCAGTCTAGTGTGCGAATTCCGCTACTCACAACCTCATCTCCATGGTGTCAAGCAGCATGGCTACTCTGGATTGGAAATAAAGTAACAACTTGGGACAAGGTTGCATCATGCTGCATTAACTAGTCTTCATTCCAACATCGATTTCATTGTTTATTGCAAAAAATCTTAACATTACTGTATTGTATTTATATCAGTGGTTGAAGATTTGACTCGAGCAGAGGTACATTTAATTTTGCCTTTTGCAACCACGTGCATGCGTGGTACATGTAGCTACATGCGCATTTTGTTATGGTCTCGACTGGTCTCTAGGGGAAGACCTGAGACTATGGTATCCAAGACCGAGACCGGTGCTTTTGAGACTTTGACAGGGCGAGACCGCAAAAAAAGGTCTCGAAATGCTCTCGAGACCTACAACACTGGTGCCAAGTTTATTATGCGGCGGCGCAGGGCTCGCGAAATTATAAAACATGTAGTTGCCCTTTGGGCAGGGGAGTCTAAAATCTGGTTGCCTGAACTTCATTTTCAGTTGCCCAACAAGGAAGTTTTAGCCACACGTGGTCTCCAAGCTTTCAGTAATTACAGTCATTTTCCTAGTTCCCGATCGCTTGAAATGAATAGGCCCAGGCCTACCCACCTTTTTGTTATTGCTCTGCAGCATTACACACTAAGACCACTTCTTTTTTGAAAGGTAACATGAAAGTCTTGCAGTACAAATTTTACTCCCAGAAAATTTCAAGAAAAGGAATTCTTGCTAAATTCTCAATTCCCGCTTCGACGTTTGTTGATGGTTTGTCAAAAATTACGGGAGCACAAAAAAATCAACACCGAAAAAAATTACAGGACGGTAGGTCACTCACTACGCAAGATTCCATGAACGTTTTTCCTAGTTTCGGATCGAGCATGCAATTGGCAAGTACATGTACGAACGTCATGAACTCAACTACATATGCGTACCAGATTTTTACGTGACGTAATGGGTTCGTCAACTTTGCGGCATGGGGGAATTTGTGGTCGACGGCTCGCTGAGCAGCAAAGTCAAGTCAAAATTTATGCAGGCTATCCATGTTAAAGCCCCTTTAAAATTAGATTTGCTTTACTAGAAAATATCCTTGTTACAATGGTTTTGGCAGAGAAATGGGTTTATGCTTGACTACTTTTTATGTGTAAAGAAATTTTTTAGGCGATCCAGAACTGGCAAAACCGATCCAACACTTGGAAAAGTGTCATCGCCACTTTTGTCGATAAATTAAAAGCTCAAAATTTGAAAATGTACATGAACAAGGTAGACCTCTGACCCCATTTCATTGAAATTTGATGATAATTGAGCTGTAATATGACTGAATGTACATTTAGTTTTAGCGATCCGGAACAAGGTAAACGACTGAATACAGACACGGCTGCGTTGTGCATGCCAACGACCATATGTACCACGGTGCACCTACCCACACATGTACAGTCGTTCAACATCAAGGTTAGGATGTCGCTCTGTTTTTGCAGTCTTTTTTTGCGATCTTTTTCAGTGCACGGTGCTAAAATGTCCAAAACGTCGGGCAAAAAAATGTGTTGCCGAAAACAGGTGCTTGCCCACCAGGCTGGCAGCCAGGAACATTTAGTTGCCCGACAAAATATTTTGGTTGTCGCGGGACGTCGGACTACCGATTCTGCGAGCCCTGTGCGTGTTGATGTTACATTGTAGGTCATCTACTGTGTAAGAGACACAGTGTCAGTGAATTGGAAACAGTGACCCTCTCGCACCATATCATTGTTCATGTAAAATAAAACACCTCTAACCAAGACTTACCAAACCTAGGTTGCAGACCATTTAATAACTTGCCATGGACAGTGATAAATACCTTGACTTTAAATATCAGGAAACATTGAAGTGTCTCAGGTGCTCAAGACACATGCCATGTCAAATTAAAGCTGATTTCCTCATCTTTCATTTTCCATTCAATTGACAGTAGCTTTAACTGATGACTTCTGAAGATATTTCTCTTCAGAGATGATCACCCCTCAAATAGTCATGAGGCCCATTGCCATTTTGTACACTTCATTACAAAACAGCAATTTGGAAGGTCCAATTTTGTCTGATACTTTCAGAAAAATGCAATAAGCTTGAAGTCCCGCTGATAGATTCCATACTCCTACATGTACTTCACAAACCATGCAGTCCATGAGCCATGAAATGCTCTGATGGCAGAGAATTTGAAAGTGTACAAATTGTGATTCAGTCCATGCAAGCAATTTTGGACCAGTTTACTAGCCTGTAACCATAAACCTCACACTGTCCAGAATCTCTCCTCTCTCGCAGACTCATGGAGTTTGAAGATTCTGGACATTTTACAGAATCCACTCCTCACTCATGGACCTCTGGATGACTTCTTTCCATCTTCCCTGCTTCTTCAGAGCAGACTTCTTCCCTACATTCAGGTAAGCAGGCATGCATGTACCGTAACGTTATTGACTGCTGAGATGTGGGATGTGATGTTTTACCACCCCAGGGACTCATAGCACCAGTGGCGAAGCTCTGAAGGTATTAACACTGTATCCTACGTGACAGCTGTCAATGATGTTTTGTCATACCTCTTTCATGAATTCTTAGTAATGTTTTGAATTTTGAAAACAGAAAAAATGATAATTATCCCGGCCCATCATCATCAACATTGATAACTAACCCCGGCATGAAGTGGTTAAACAGTGTTGGTCCATATGCATAAAAACCAAATATCTTTAAGTCCTTTATCTTTGAGTCCTCAAGCTCAGCTTACATGTTAAGGAATTTATATGAAGGATCTGACCCCATGAATTAGATGTAAAATTAATATTCAGGCGAAAATTATTAATTTTAAACCACTCCAACAGTTCACTGCCCCCACTAAAGCTAACTATTATGAACTGTATTAGTGACGAATCGCAGGTACCAGTGAATGAATATGAGTAATCCGGTTAACAGTCCCTGCATTATTGTTTGGACTGTGGTGTGAGGAATGGTCTATGTTCTCACAGTGTGATATGAAGAAGGATGAGGGTGGTGTGCATTTTTATCAACTAGTCACCTGATCATTCCGGGCCAATGAAAATATTGTGTTCAAGTCAAGAGATATACAAATACAGTAACATCTCGATAAGTCGAAGCTCAGGGGAATGGACGAAAAGTTCAAGTTATCCCACGTTCGAGTTATCGAAAGTTACATGCTTCAGTGCACATACAACCTTACTGCCTTACGGTACTTGGCCTGCAAGCTGAGTCGAACACGAAGTGGATTTTAGGTTGTCCTTACTGTGCAAGATTTCCTCAAACATTATCATTAAATATGTTTTTATGTGGTACATTAATAGACAATAATAAACCAATGAAGTTATTACAGGTACCTGTGTCTACGTCTTGAGAATTCATTCATTTGCTTTGCCTGATCGGGCTGTTGCCGCATAACGCAGCGTGCGGGCCAGTCTGTCAGGGTTTCCGTGCTGGGTCATGTGATACATGTACAAAGCGCTTGAGGGGGCATCCTTCGTGCCTGATTTAGGCTGCATCGGAATCTCTTGTCTAGAGCTAGGTCTTGATATTCTCTCCATTGGAAATGCATGGAGACGCGCAGACAATCCATTGAAAATGCATGGAGACGTGCAGATAATAGACCTACATGTAGCTGTAGCTCTGAAAGCCCATTTCAGACACAGCCTTAACGGTTGTGGTTGATGCCCACCCAGTGCTTGTCGACGTGACAATGGCGGCCCATGTGAACATGCTCAGCTCATCAAAGAAAAGCCGTGCGCATGACAGTAATGACTCATAATGAAGGCAAGCGGTCTTTCATCACTTTTTATTCATCATTCTTCAGTTTTTTTTAATTGGCCTACCAAAACTTCGAGATAAACGGTTTTAGTGGTATTGACGTTTCGAGTTACGGATAGTTTATTGTACATAAAGGCCTATTCTTTTGTCAGGAATACAGAAAGATGTCGAGGAAAACGGAGTTTCGACTTAACAGGCTTTGACTTATCGAGATTTTACTGTATGTTTGTGTCCACTATTAGGACAGTTTGCCACATGATGCAAATGTAATGTGGTCCGTGATGGTGTGTACAATCTTAGCTGGTACATTGGTGTCATTTATTCTGGAGTTGTTTGGAACTTGTCAACTGTGCTATAAAGCTTTGGGGGGGGGCTCTCCTTCGAGTTCAGACATACCGAGGAAGACAACCCTTGAGCCTCCCTAAATCTTTATTAAACCCTCTATTGTGCATTGAGTCAGTAACATACTGTACACATTGGAATAAAAGCCTGGTGGGATGTTTTAAGCTACATGTACATGTAGTACATTTAAAGTGGTTAGGGGCCTGGGAGTAATAATCAACTGAGCCTGTTTTAATAATGTATGTGCCTGTCGCATGTGGTAGAAGTGTTTCCTTGTATGCCGCCATGCAGCCCGTGTGGTGCATGTTGCACCATGTGTAAAGTGAAATTCTGACTATGAAGTGCAGACTTACAACTTACAATGTACATGTATGATTGCCTTGCACATTGTTATATGATTATGACGATGGATGTCATGTACATGGACAGTATGAGGGAAAGAATTCATAAAGTCGAAATTTCTGTGAAACTGTTTAAAGTAAGTTGGTACATGTGGCTTCATCATCCGATAAAAACCACCATCGTAAGAGGCTCCTGATCAATAGGAATAGGTAAACTGTCTGAGATTATACAGGGGAATTTTAAGCAGAATTGGGTCTGTAATAAAAGTTATCTTATTGCATATACTCTCTCCAAAGCAGATGTCTTGAAGTTGAAGGATCCAAAATGGTTAGAGTTAATATGCAGTTGAAATCACAAGATGATCTCTGTGTAGCAGTGTTGATTTTCCCCAGTTTTTGCTTTGTTTTGCCAGAGGAATGAAGAGATTCTCGAGATTCTGCAGAAGAACATGAGAGAGCTGGTCCTTGCCCACTACCTGCCCAAATATGAGAGCATCTTGCGGAAGTTCCTGGAGTGTCTGATTCATCATGGGGTCCTGAGAAAGTTAACTTTAAAACACGCAAAGTTCCAGTCTCCAGCCCAGTTGTTCAGCATCCTCGAAGTGTGTGCCGGAAGGCGAGACAGTACTGCTGAAAGGAGCCACGAGGATGCGGCAGGGTCAGACCTCAAAAGGCAGAGCACTGACGGGTCTCTCCCAGTATCGAAACCTTTCCACTGTCTGAGATGCCAGTCTAAATTGTCTTTCTTCATGCCTTTGTATGGCCAGAAGACTCCAGTTTCTAACACAAGGAGCCACTACCAATTGAAATGGGGCACCCATCAACCATTCTGTGTCGTAGGTCCAGACTTAGTTGCACTTGACCAAGAGTCTGATCCAGCAAGCCAAGCCTCCGAATATCCTTCTGTCTCTTCCCAAATCGACCTTTCTTGTAACAGTTCGTGCAGACCTAGTCATCAGTGTGTCAGGACTACCGACCCCTGTATAAAGCACCTGGTCATGTGTGGTTTTATCCTGCATCAACCAGATTACAGCCAGGTTCTAGAGGAGGTATTCAGTGTATGGCCAGGCCTAAGAGAACTCGAACTTATTGACAATGGTGAGTTTTCTTCTTCTGAGTTTATTCCATGTTGGTTCCTCACTTATTGCCTTGATGCCTCATCAATTTCAATAAAACTTGGATCATTTGTTGCTCTTAGAAGTCCCTGCATCAATCATCACCAAGTTACCAATTACCAGCTTTAGGGATTTGTGTACATGTGTTGCTGCCAAGTATTTATTTATGATCTCTGAATTGAACATGAACTTTCACTCAAGCAGACATCAACAAGAGATTTCTTTACTACATTAAAAATTGAAATGCACTTTCAGTTATAAGTGTATTTGGTGGCTAGGACCTTTATCTGGGTTTCTCTCCTGCAGTGATGTTAGAGGATTCAAGTCACAAGATACTGGCGGCACTGGTCCGTGCACAGCAGCTCACTCCCTCATTTCAGAGGCTGCGCATTGAGGATAACTCCATCCAGGACTCAAATCTGCTGCTTCTGCAAGATCTTTTGGCCAGGTTTGTGTCAAATCTGACACTCAAATTTAGATCGGTTAAAATGTCGTTCTCAGTTAAAAGTATTCCACCTGATTTTAACTCTGTTTTAACTGCATAGATCACGCTCAAATTTTCACCCTGTTTTGACCGTGTTTCAACCGAACCCACCAACCTTTGTTATACAAGTTTAATCCTCTCCTGGTCCATCGGCAGTCCAAACTGACATTCACTCATTTTAAACATGTTTTATCGGTGTGTAAATGGTGTGCTGCAAACCGCAGTGTCCTGTTAAGTAAATTCAGTTTTTACCTAATTAAATAGCGGTTTGGGGGGAATCATGTCAATCATCTTTCTTACATTCCACAAGCTAGAAATTCGCTTCAATATATACTGGCATTCAAAGGTACTTCCGCACCTGTTTACTTTACAAAATCACTGATTTTTTTTACATACATGTATAAAGTGATGAATTCATCATATAAAAATGATACCTGTGTCTGAAGTTTATTTAGAATAAACAACTGAAGTTTTACTAGTAAAGTTACCGTTCATTTGTCAATGATGACAATTAATCTAAAGTATCTGTGTTCTGCGTGCACAAAATCAATGGCACTATCATTAAAATACAAGAGGGCAGCGCCCATAGTCCATTGTTAACCATACATCAAGAGCACGGATGCTTTTACCCATTAAAAACTCCCCACGGCACTGGCAGCATAGTGCCATCTGTCCACAAACCCCAATAAATTGGCAGGAACCTGGCGATCCAAACCATAATAAATCCGCTGGAAAAGCTGGAATACATGTAATTCATCCCTGTTCTGAGGACAAACTCGTTCCACAAATTCTCCAGCGAACAGCATCACAGCTACATGTAATGGGCCACCTGCGTGGCACGGTTCCAGCTCCCCGCCCATGTGCTGGATCACAGGGCCGGTCATGTCATGTGACCTACAGAGTGTGTGACACGTGAAATCGAAGGCTACAGTTGAGCTCAAACTTATTAATACCCTTCGAAAAATAACAGACGAGTACATGTACTTTTCTAAATTCTTTATTTGTAAAAGCTATTATGTTGGTACTTATATCTTTTGTCTATTTGTTGCAATACACAAACCCACATGTGTGTTGGCTAAACTTCATTTGCATACTAACAGATACGGCCCGGGTTTCTTTTTTGCTCCTGCTCAAAATTACTCATACCCCAGGTTTACACAGTTCATTGGCATTGTGCTTGGGGTCATTGTCTTGCTGGTACGTCCAGTGAGGTCCATGCTGGAATTTCTCAGCAGACGCTTTCACATTGTTAGCCAGGATCTTTATAATAATCCTCCTTTTTAATGATGCGGGACCTGCTGAAGTTTACTGTACATGTTCGCACATACATGTACATGTACATGTACCGTACGTGCTTGTGTGCATTGTAGGCCTACAGCCCCGAGCTAGCACGGGTATAACTCATTTTATTGTCTGCAGCCTGACAGACAATTCAGACAGCATTCTGCCCTCCAGTGCCGATTAACAAACTCATGCATCCGTTTCGGAATTCCCACCAGGGTGGGCGGTTGGCCTAACTGAACTGCAAGTTGGCCTGTCATTATCAGCAGAATGCTAATTCAAATTCGCCTTGTCACAAATTGCCAGCCAGTATGCAGAAATTCGGGCACATTCATGAGTTTGGTAATTTACATAAAGCTTGCATGTTGCGTTCTATCCGTGGATCCACCACTTTGTGAAGGGATCTATTGTTTAGCAGGGATTTACGTCCACTGTGATTCTGTGAAATGTCTCTGTCCTGAAACACATAAGGTGACGCCTGAAGACTAATAATGCATTTAGGTATAGGATGAGCCTACGAAGGACTGAGTACCAGTGCAAAGAACTCATTTGTGTCAATCAGTGGTGACTAAAAGTTACTGTACCGTTAGAGATTAGGGCAGGGCAGCGTATTAAGGCGGTATTATCGCAATGCATAAAGGAACTCATTTGGCCTTGGGGATTATACTCATATATAGTGTGATTCCACAAATCCCTGTTTTAACCGAATAACGGGCCTTGCCATCAGAGCTTAAAACCACAAAGCTAACTTCAGAGTTTATGAGCAGAGCTCCTTACCAGTTGCCAAAAACAACCCCATTTTAACCCCATGTTTTTGGTACGTGTAGTTTAACTGAAAATGAAAATGGTTAAATTGAGCTGACTAGACGGAATACACCAGTTTTAACCAAGAAGCAGCATTTTAACCAAGCGGAAATCCATAGTGTGAGATGTTTCTCTGCTCAGTTGTTTGTACTGATCTGTTAATGACTTCTTCCCATGCAGATATGAGGAGCTTAGTTTTGTCGTTACGTCCTAATTTCCCTGTAAATTCTTAATGATAAAGAACACATTCACAGGGCACTTTTTCTTTCCTGTTAACAGATCAAAACTCAAGACATTGGAGTTGAAGAACACTGATATCAGTTTTCTTGCCAGTTACAAACATCCAGACGTTGGTTTTGGTGCGCTGGGACAATGGCATCCGCTTAGTGATGGTTAGCTCAATAAGTTCTTGTTTGATAATCCAAGCCCTCTGAGTTTGCATTCTACTAGTTTTTTGACTGGAGGCCCTCTTGAATCCAAACCATAGAGCTGTGTACATTAAATTCATCACTAACTTACTGTGCAAAGTAAAACCTTCAAGGCACATGTGCACAGACTTGTGGAAAAATTTTGTTTGGCTTTTGTGTAGCTTCTTGCATACATACACACTGTACATGTATGTGCATCTGTATTCTAAGTGATGCTTCAACAAAGCTGATACACCAAGATCCTAAATGAAATGAGTATTTCGCCGCACTTTTGAATGAATTTTGCTGAGGCTTTCTCATGCAATATGCTATCTATAGAAAGTGCATTTGCATAATAATCATTGCTTATTTCATAAACGTACGTGTACTTTGCCATTGCCAACTACATTATTCTAAATTTGCATTATTTCATTTTGTTATTTTTTCAAACATGCACACCAATTCAAAATACCAGTACTCCGACGACTGTCAAAGTTTCTCTGCATGGGGGAACAAGATGTTAGTGCTCTATAATCCAACCAAAGCTCAGCCCATGGTAATCCAATTGCACATGCTCCAATTGCTCTTTGAACAAAATTGAAACCGCATGCATCAGTGTACAACAGCAGCTTGTGTCTGTAGAGTGTGCTCTAGCAAAATGCAGCAGAATCTGGTAGCCATGGTACATGTAGCCCATTTGGATGTATTCAGGTTCAGGGAAAGCATTTAGGTGGCTTCCAGAGTCAAGAAGGTGCTGCAAATAGGGCTGTGTAAATTATTTGATTATTCTGATATGTGTATCTAGTCGACTGTCAAATATTCAAAACTCGTTTTTGACATTGAATACATGTAGTTAGAGGTGAAAATCAATGGTAATAAGTAAGGAAACAAAGCGTTCTTCATGGTGTCGTGGGTAAACTAAAAGGTAGCTGAATACAAATGCCTTACAGTAAGGTCATAAAAGTCCTTTTGTTCAGATTTTCTTTTTGTAACTTTTAGTGAAACCATGTAAAGTTTTTGGGGTGCTTTGTAGGAATCTGGGGCAACCAAATGTTTAAATTTAATTGTAAATTTTTTGAATATTCAAGTAGACTCAGCCTTAAAAACAAGATATTGTAGTCTCTTATAATGTTTGGCTTTTATCTTCAGTCCCAGTTTTCTCCCATTCTGTGCATGGCTCTTCTGAACAGCTTTTAGTCAACTGAGTGCCATCGATCTGAGCCACAACAGACTGTTTTACCTGGCTTTCCTGGAGCAAGCTCTCACGCAGCCAGATTGCACCATTAAGCTTCTGAATCTGGAATGTTGCGAACTGGGGACGGAAATGCTGGACAGCCTTTTTGTCAGTGCTAAAGGTGACAACTGATTTTGTATTGTTTGTGTTCTGTTTTGTTTTTGTTTGGGTTTTCTTGCAGGGTGGTTTTAGTGATTTTTGTATGTTTGATGGATTGATCCTTCTTTTTATTTTGTTGCAGACAGCAAATGCCTGCGTGAACTAAATGTGGCATGTAACAAGTACTGCCCACACACTAACAGCCGGGCTAGTTTTTCAGGCCTTGCCGAGCTTATACGAAATAGTCCACTCACTAAATTGAATCTCAGTGGATGCAGCTTTGCATTAACAGGTTTGTCTAGATTTTCCCTCCATTTTCCCTCTTTATCTCGAGTTGTGTGAAAATCTGTCAAAATCTGTGGGTATTCTTGCCCTGCTCAGCCCTGTGTTGGTAGTTCCTCCTAGTTTTCATTATCTGTGTTCAGGGGTGCTAGTCAGAAGTCAGCAAACCTGAAACATTATCTGGCCAGAGATCATGACCCAAAGACACATTAGCAGGAAAAGCCAACATGGGGCTGGATAGCTCAGTGGGTATGGCACCAGTGCAGTGTTCCAGAGGTCACAGGTGTAATTTGTTGGATGTTAAATGTATTTATTTTGTAGGAATCCCTTTATTGAGTTTTTGCTTTGAAAATTTAAGTTTTAAATTAAAAACAATAGTAAAAGTCAAGCATGAATTTGAAGGTATAGTCCTGCAGTTGTTGCTTAATGGTTCACGGAAGTGTTTGTTGCCTTAGTAAGTCACACGATCAATTTAGAGTGCTTTTGTTTGCCGCTGAAGTCATCCATAGGCATTTCTCAGTGAGGTTAACATTGCTTTTAATTTTTATACTCTTTTGTAACTCAGGCTGGACCCATGGCAATGATTTTGCAGATGCCCTGCGTCTCGACAGTTCTCTCCATCAATTTCTGCTGGAAAGCAATTTATTGAGTAAGTAACCCCACAGAAAGGACTCCATGTAAAAGGCACTTGCCTTTCAGTTGTTGTTTGATGGAAAAAAAATTATCCAGATTTATCAAATGATGTCTCATGTCGCCTCTCTCTCCATTTATCTGTATATCTGTTGAAGTAGAAGCGTGATTGTCAAAACCCATTTTGAAAACGACTATGTGATATCTGACTGTTGCTATGTTGCACATGCAGTCTGTGGTTTCTCTATTGCATTGCGTCAATACTGTTATTGCGTTGTGTGTATGCATATGCTGTGCACTGTACTGTTTGGCCTTTGATCTTAGGAAGTGTAGGGTGCCAGTCGTACAGTACTGTGGACTAGCATTCTTAAGTTTTGTCCTTTGGGTTACTTCACAGCCGACAAATGTCTACATCTGTTGGCCAGTGCCTTTGTGAACCCCCCAACAGACTTGAATGTCCAAGCCCCGCAATTGTGCTTAGACATAAGGTGAGTATGTGGGTCGGGGAGAGGATATCGAGAACGTAATTATTGGTGTGAAAGCTTCCAACAACTTTGACCATAATGCTTTCGCAAGTCATTGACATTTGAAAAACAGCTGCTATCCATGTAACGGCCAATGAGTTAGGCACTTGAGTCAGTATTTCAAAAGTCACACAGCTCAAAGCAGCATGGAATTTCTGGCAAGCATACCATTCCTAGTATATCCAGTGACATTGGTTGAATCTTCTGAACAGTGACATAAATCTATTAAACCCCCCATGTGTTAAAGTGTCACTGTGTGAATGCCAAAATAACATCTGTAATAATTTTTCCCGCTCGAATAGTTTTAACAAGCACATAACCCGCGAGGGGCTGGACACATTCAGCCAAACACTCCAAAAAGCAAGCACAACACCAGGTTACCGAATCACCCCTCCCCGCCACCTTACAATCACGATGGAAAGAGGTGAAAGCAGCACCAGAGAAGACTGGAAGATGGCGGAGTTCATGAAACTGACTGTCAGTCGTAAGGTACCAGTCGGACAATGGTCTAACAGACGTGGGGGTTACAGGAGCCGGAGATACGTCATGAACTGTAGAGACCTGATGATGGAGCATCAGTCACAGATGTGAGGGAGACAACTTCTCCAACCTTAACCCCAGAGGTCACTTTATTTACCACTTTGATTCAGTAGTAACCCTGGCTAGAAAACCTTCGTCATGTATCTTGATTTGACAGAATAACGGCGGCTGAATAATTTGTATCATGTATTTGGTACTGTTAATCCCAACACATGATATAGTATTAATGCTCACTGTGAATTTTTGTGTTGTTTTTGCCTTTAACAATCCCCCATTTTCCTTTTTTGCTTATATTCGTATGGAATGTCAAACTGCCATGCGTGGTTTACAAGATGCTCACTTTTTCAAAAATAATATTTACGGATCCATAATGCTGCGCCAAATTTACCATTTTTACACCGCATATATACACAACTGAACATGGTGATGGAACAGGTAGTCATGAAAACACTGCTTGACACCATAGGATCAAAATTACCTCTTCTCGCATAGAGCTCTGGTTCAATGCTTTGAACCTGATGTTGGGACTAATTTCTGGACACTACAAAGTAATAGTAACATTAATAACACAGCAGTGTCTTTTCTGCCACACACAAACTGAATGACAGTGCTACATAATCACAAGGTACATATATATTTCACAATGACACTTGAAATACTGTCTTAGGAGTGTTTGGGTTCTTGAACAGATATTTTCATATCACAATGCCACATTTTCAAACTTGAATTGTTGACATTGTAAATCTGTTATACAATTACTGCAAAGCAAATGAGTTTGCCAAGCTTTAAGAAATTTGTTTTCTTGAAAACCAGGGTGCCGACAAAAGTGGTGAAGGTGTGTGCGTACTGTATTACCATATGTACTACCACTTTTTGGCATACTTTATTAGTAATCAACTCTCCAACCTTTTTCAGTCAAGAAATGTCAGAGTTTACCTTGCAGAGGTTGCACAACGATGTACTTTTTTCATTGGTTATACTTACTGTTGCATTGCTGGCCTGTGTGAAACCACAGGTATGATCCCAGTTGCCTTATGTTACCAGAAAAGTAAATTCAGAGTATTTACTTCTGCGACTCTTGGGGCATGTGTTCTCAACTCGTGGCTGGTCCTGTTCTGGGCTTACCCCCTCGTTGAAAATTGTGCCACTGCCATGTAGAAATCAGTAAAGCAAGACTAATTCTAGTGTAAGAAATTGCAACCTTTGACCCAAACCTCACAAAATATCAAACCCCGTTACCACCGTTCTTGACACAAACAAAATTTCTTGAGGGAAGAATGTATTTAAAAAATCATTAACTTTTATTCTGAGAACCTGATGAAGAGACAAAATAACATGAACCAGTTACAAGTATTATAATGTATTTTAGGGAAGCCATATTTAAGATTTGAAACTTCGTTGATAATAATTCTGAATTGCTGAGTTATTTTTAGGAAGAACACAAATGCATGGGTGGCCTATTCAGGTCTTGGGTTGGGGGGCAGACTTTTTCAAAAATGATCATCAATTTTTTTTCATTCTCAAAAGAATCCTTACCCCCCTTGCCCAAATAAAGGTAGTACATAGTACAGTACCAGTTATAAAATGCTAGCACTTTAAATCCAAAGCCCTCCCCCATTATCAAAGACCAGATGGATCATAAAACCTTGAAACAATCACCAAACAATATTGGCTGTCAAAGCTCCCATATGCAAGACTTCAGAAACACATATACTGTACCTGGTTTGAAGTCTTTTGCAGATATATGTATTTGGAATACCTCAGTATTATGACCTCTGTTATTTCGCATCATTTACAAAATATAACATGTACATCCACAACCATATATAAAAGTTCTTACATTTTGCTACTATAAAAAGTTAATGTCACCATGCACCAGGCCCTATACAAAACATTATTTTCAATTAATTTGGACATTTAAATAAAAAAAAATGTTAAATAATCATTTAATTGTTTAATGATTAGGTTTTTGTATGCAATTCCACCAAATCATTGCTTTAGGATCAACAATAAAAACAGCCTTTCAAGATGACTTGTGGCTAGTAAACAAGACGGGGGACATCAAAACCTATTTTTATTATCTAAAAAGATTTATAACTGTTTTCCTGAAGGCCACATTTACATTAATTCTAAACACCTTTTGCTGGAATACAGATACTTTGAGAATAAAGAAACTCTTACAGATCTCTTATGACAAAAAGTTTAGATATAAAACAATTTGCATTTGTATTAAGTTTATAAACATGATGAATATAACTTGGGGAAGACCAGAAGAAGGCATATTTGTGTACAGTACTTTCCATTGTTGACAATGACACCAAAGGGTTTGGTCTTAGGCAAATTCCAACTACAAAGAAGTTCATAACAATTTAAGGTAATTGGTCCTCTCCATTTTTACAGTTGTACGATAAGACCATTTGATTAAAATGATGCTTGGGCTCTCAGGACAAGATCTCATAGAAATAGTGCAATGAGTTGCATATTCATTCATCATTTACCCCTACTGAAATGGCATTGACCCCATTAAAATGCTTTGAAGTAGCACAATGACCACTTGCAGGTGCAAAAAAAGGGGAAAATGGGAAATTCATTGGTATAATAATAACAAATTCCTTTTCATGTTTCCCAACGCAGGCAAGATTTTTACATCTAAAAAGGTTTGCTATGGAACCTTGCCTTCTAGTTGTGCAATCAGAGTCTTGAGATCTTTTCAGACACTGCTGACTGCTGAAAGTAACCCAGATTTTACATACTGTGTGGTGTCCATGTTGATTCTGGAGCGAGGCTTTTGGTGTCTTGTGTCCTCCAGTCAGACAAATGTTGCATCCTGCGTGGTGTCAATAAAGTCCTCTTCCAGCTTGACTGGCACGTACAGCTGGTAGGTGTACCCCTTCAAATTCAGGTGTTTCTGTAAGTTCACAAAAAGAGAGAAATGGAAACTGTCGGTAAGATAATGCTATCATCCACCTTGTACACGTGGGCCTCCATCTCACTACTTCAGATGAACAGATGTTGAGTTGATAAATGAATGGCCTTAGACACAATCATGACAATGGGCCTACTCAGTTGCCAATATGCCTGCATTCAAGTGTGCTACTGACATCAACAGTGGTGGCATGATTTTCAGAGTTAGGGGGTCAGTTGTGAGACCATCCACCATCAGCCATTACTAGACTGCTATCCCTGCCCATTGTGTTCTGACCAAGAGTAGGGGTGGGGATTCCCTTTGTCAAAAGGTGTGTGAGGGGCCACTTGCCACCATGGTTCCATCGCCAGTGACTCACTTTGACACGAGTACACTCCTAGCAAAAGTACTACTCGGTTTGGCACACTAACATGGACATTTTATGGGGGTGAAAACGCTCATTATTTCTGTTCAGCACAATTTTGACTCGAGCACAAATTTACCATACTCTTGAATGGATTATCCAATGAATGTATTTCATTCAAAGGCAAATCAACACAGGATTGAGTATAATAAATTTGGGCAAGTTTTGAGATTGCACTGAACAATCCTATCAAACTCTGTCAAGTTAGTAACTATTCATAGTTCATTCTATTCATTCTGCGAATGTTTGCAAAAATGTCACCTGTGGTGTTAGATTTTGCCTCAAAATGTATGTTTTTCCCATTCCTGTTAAGGAGGGTCATATTATCATGTATTTAGTAGTATTGTTTGGATGTTTTGGTAGTTGCATGAATTTTTTTATTTCTTTGTACAGATGGCCATTCAAAGTTTACTCGCCATTGGTAGGCAAAAACATGACTGTGAGCTTCAAAAAAAGAGGTCCGTTGATTTTCATTTTCCAACATTCCTTTAAAAGGCCTGTAAATTCAGAAGTGGCTCTGGAGATGGCAATGTTTTTATTAGGTTTAGTCACAAACGATGCTTTGAAGGGGCCTTATCTTACCACTACATAGACAAAAATGAAAGTTTACAAACATAAAAATGACTATATTAAATGTGTAGACTACCTTAGCCATTGGCTTCATCTTTTTGAGTTCAGTGCACAGCATGTCAAAGGAGGGCCTGCTCTCAGGCCGACGGTGCCAGCAGCGGAGCATCAGATCATACATCTCTGGCGAGCAGTGCTGCGGCCACTCCATGCGATTGTGATCTCGCAGCTCGCTGTACAGGTCGTGAGTCTTGATGTTGTGGTAAGGCATGCCACCTAAGGAGAAAAATATGACTCAAGCATTCCTTACTGATTCCATTTTGAAGCATGAAGCATTGTTTAAAATTTGTTTTTCTCAGGTGGTTTTTAACTGCTTTGGAAGATGCAGAAGTTGTGACATAATTAAGACCAGTTCATACTTTGGGTGAATGTACAAAGTGAATTTGACATTACAGAACATTTGCAGCCAAAGTTGAGAGAGTTGAAACATGTTCATTCTGTGTGAATTCGCAGCAAAGAAATTTAATATGACGTCGCCATTTAATTTGCATTTGTTCACTTTCATGCCAAGTATGTACTGGCCTTTGTTCAAGCTGGTAGGAATATTAGAAGCCATAATAAAGGGTGCAAGTTAAGGACTAGCTTACATGCAAATGCAACCAAATCATTCTCATCAATGGCCTGCCCTGGAAAATATTGAATAAATATAATGCTATGCATGTGATCAGTCCATCCTTTTAATAATGAACATAGCAGAGAACCAAAATAATGCAACTCACCTAAAGTTACGATCTCCCACAACACTACCCCAAAAGACCATCTGTACAGATAGAAAAAAGTGTATCCATGAAGTTTATAGCAACTAAGACACTTGCCTTTATCAACAGGGCACAGATCCAGCAACAACTTTTTTGGGGCCAAAATTGCTTTGGCAGACCCAAAAAATATTGAATTTTTTTTATTAAACGGTGTACAGTCTTTCTAAGGGGCGAGGCTACATTTCTGGACCCAAAAATCACTTTTCATTTGGCTCTTTTTGGGGGGTGGGGTGTGGATTCCGTTACCCACATCAATTTAAAGTGGCACGTCACACTTTTTGAAACTATCAAGAACATTACAGCAACTTTTTTTGCATGATTAGTATTCACCTTATCGTCCCTTTAACATTTAGACATGAGCTACCTGTACTTACACATCACTTTTGATGCTGTACACATTCTCCAGTAGGGCTTCATAGGCCATCCATCGTTTAATATGTTTCTGCAATGAGAGGTTCAATACTTTACAAATAAGAAAGGTCTACACCTTAACTTGTTAGCGTCGGGTTTTCTTAGCCATAAAGGTATATTCCCTGCTTTAATTCGTCAACCACAGAAACGAGAAAAGACATCTTAAACGAGTGTACCTGTCCCCCGTGGAAAAACCAAGGAAAATCATGTATGTTTACACGTTATCTGGCGTCAGGGGTTAAGACAAATTTAAACTGACCAATGACAAACTGGCAAGGTTTAGGATCCCTCCAAAAAAAATTTTAATGCCTCAGAACAAAGACCAAGCATTGTATTTTCAAACCATTATTCATTGTGGATTTTTCAGACGCAAGTGCTTTCAAGAATTATCAATTCAATGAAAATGAAAATCGGATATATAAATCCAGATATATGATCATAGAAAAGAAAACTGCCTTGATCCTTTGCAGTAGTTTGCCTCAAGTGTAGGATGGTCGGACTCTACTCTGATTATGAACTGTTTGTAACAAAGTCCAGGGCATGGCCACAGTACACGTTCTCAATAGCTTTATTTCATAACAAAATTCAGAGACAGCATCAAACCAAAATTTGGACAGTCAGTCTAAGTGAAAATGAAGGCTTCATTTTCTCAAATTAGTGGAAAAAAGGGGGCTGCATCTTAAAAGACGGGCTTACCCAAAATGAAGAACCTGAAGATAGGAGCAGGGCATATTGTTAGCAACACTTTCTTTAGTTATTCAACAACCAGTCGAGAAACATGGGAAAAAGGTACCTCCCACAAAGAAGAATGATTGAAAAAAGGGGAGCATCAGGTCCCCCCAACACGATCCACTACTGCCAATGGTTTGGACCAGGATCATTTGATTAAAACTTTAATAAGCACTCACAGCACATTCATCCATCCTAACTCATCCATCCTAGAGTGGTTGATGCAGATGACTTACATTTCGGTGTTCCGTGTAGGGTACAAAGCACGAGGTTTCGGGCAGCCCCTTTGCCATGCCAAAGTCTGCAATCTTGGCCTTGTTGTTGAAGGTAATGAGGACATTCTTTGCACACAGGTTATGGTGTACGTACTGTGACATTATAGGGGGAAAGCAATAGAATGGTTGAGCACCAGTGTCAAAAGTGAAATCGCCAGTTGAATTTCAGATTTGGCAGACTCGACTGTGGGAAGGCGCACGCCAATTTCTAAAACTGCACGAAGGGGTTCAAAGCCAGCTCAACAGATGATTGAGAAGTTGTTCATTGATAGAAGCTGTCTTCTTCCTTTTTAAATTTGGATATTGGAATCCAAAGTACAGTAGTGAGATAAAGGTATGATAATCAAAAAAGTAGTGAGGGAGAATTCAGAAATGAGCCCAAACTTTTCCTTCTCCAATCCCCCTCCCCTAAAAAAGTTAAGAAAAAGAGGGGTTGGAATTTCAAAAACAACTCTTACTTTGAGAAGAGTGATGTGTCTCATGCCCTGGGCAATATCACAGGCAAAGCTCATTAGTTCATCCACTGGGGTAGGCGAGTAGGGAGGCTGATCCCTACGCCTGCATCGCCCGCGACGTAGGATGCGCAGCATGTCGCCACGAGCCACATATTCGTTGATTAGACATGTCTGAGCTGATGAAAAGAAAATAAATATATAAAGATGAGATTTATGGAACATGAACATTTTGTTTTAACCAGTGCAGTTATTTTTGTGAATTGCTGTTTTCTTGAAAACAGGTCTGTTATATTTATGGATTTTTGGAAACTACACCAGGCAACTAAAATTTTAACCCTTTTCCAGTCTTGATTTCTAGGGAACACAAGAAAACCCAAGGCTTATTAGAATTAAAATGCTGTATGTTTGCAGAAATTTGTAGTTGGTGACAGTGTGAAATAATTACTTGATTCTTCCAACACTCTGGTGCACATGCCCTGTAGCCAGACAACATTGGGATGACGACCCACGCAGGCAAGCACCTCAAACTCATTCTTCAGCTCATTTAGCGAGTCTTCATCATTCTCATCTGCACAATAGGCACACAAAAAATAAGATTTTTTAAAACATATCTTACTTCAACAATTCCAAGCCAAAACCTATTCTTACACCAGAAATCTTGCAGAGAATACTGTTCAGGAAATTGTTTAAATCACGAACAGGACCAGTCACAAGAAGTATGCAAGTACACTATGTGATTCTTTGGCTGGTAACCAGATATATTCTGCGCTTAGCAACTGTCTGTGTACAGAAATGCCATGACACTAAGCCCCCCTCCCCCAGCACTTGAAAAAATAATTGTGAAACTGAATCTGTTTCACATTTTGTAACTAACTGGTCACAAGAGCCAAGTACAGCTAGGGTGCATCTACGTACATGTATCGCATGCACAAATGGTTTGTGCAGAATGGAGGTACATGTCTGCAACCAGTTTGTGATAGAATGTACACGAACTCTCTATTCAAAAGGGGAACCAGCTAAGTAATGGGTCCACAAGTTTGAAACTGAATCAAAGTATCCTCCAACACTACCGAAATTAATACGTAGTTTAATGCAGTTGTATATCTGTGTAGATCTCACACAGAGACGAAGTCAAAAGCTCATTCAAAATTTCAGATTTCTTGTTCTGTTGTGACTGCATCAAAACACGTCAACACCAACCTCTCAGAAGTTTGACGACCACTTTCTGGGCAGCATCCCGCTCTTTGTCCTTGTACATGCCCTCGCAGATGTAGGCAAACTCCCCACTGTAGATGAGCTTGCCCAGCTCCACCTGTGACTCGTGGATCAGCCAGCGGTCACGCATCTTGTGAGCGCGCATGGAACTACGGCCGTCTGGGATCAGCCAAGACTTGGCATTGCCCATTTTGTACTGAATGTTAGAAAAAGAGATAACTCTATCATGCATGTGACGTTTACTTGGAACCCCAGACTACTAAAATCAAACACTATTCATTGGATGGGAAACTCATGCTGTATACATGTATATGGCATATTCTTTTAGCAAGAACAGCAGTTAATATCACTGTTGAAGCTACAGTATTTCAGGATAATTTTGAAACTTATTTGGGGAGCATGCATAAACCCCTACTAATAATTCTGGATTTCCTTTCTGCCATCAATCTATGCACTAAGTGAAAACCTGTTTGATGGTAGACTTCCTCTAACAAAAAGGATGTATATGTCAAAGTTGGGACAGCAGTTGACTTATGGAAATTGGAATGGTTATCCAATGGATCAAAACTATGAAATCCGACAAGAAATCATAGTGCATAAACAAACCGTTGTGTCCATAACTTAGCCACTGTGCACAAACTATACTTATCTCCATCCTCGGAATAGATACAGTACAAATGAAACTTTTGAATGTTCCAACAGCAAGTTAAAGAGAAAACCACTTGCCCCACCTTCAATATGACCAGTACTGAAGAATTGCAGTTAAAGAGAAAGCCACTGGCCCCACCTTCAAAATGACCAGTACTGAAGAATTGCAGTATTCTTTTCAGTCATACTCTCTCTGACTCTTGAAAATGCTGTTTGAAATACCTGCAAATTTAACAATATTGTGCTTCCCTTTATCTCAGCACGTACCTTTGGGCTGCTGTATTTACTGGCTGCCTCCTCGGCGTACTTGATGCTGTACTTCTTGTGATCGTCGGCGTGCAACTTGCGCCAAGTCGTCCACCAGACTATGAGGCAAATCCATAAACAGAAGAGTGGTGCTGCAAAACATAGGCCAATGATTATGCCTAGGGTTGGCCCAGTCAGCGAAGTATCCTGTTGACATGAAAAAAACACCATCTGTACATGTACGTTACATGTAGTAGGCCATAAACCACACTGTCCGTACAATTTTTAAATCAATATATGATGTATTCAAGTGCACATGCTGACACAAACTACATGTGTTGTATGCAACTCTGTCTGAACCAATACATCAACAACCTGTGTTGTTACCATCCAAAGTGGAATTGCCATAAATAGGTCTGAGGCCTGTTCCAGGAAAGTGTGACCCAAATATCGGGCAGGAAGCTTGGTTGTCATCTGCTCTTAAAGATGAACCTACATGTACATGTAGCCTTACTTGTATGTCTGTCTTGCCCCAACAAAATGCAGAGAGCTCTCTATGCAAGTTATCATGGTTATAAACTGTACAAACAACTATTACAGCTGCATGAAGGTAGCAAAAAAGGTCTTACATGTACGTTCTATGAAGGCCTTTTACTAACTGTCCACATGTATGTGTGCCTCACATACTGCACCCCTCCCAACAAATGCACTGCCTTGAATACCCCTCACAATACTGGGTAAATGGTAGCAATGTAAAGCTTGGCTTGAAGGAACCAATTGTTTGCCTTTTCAATAGCCCTATACCATTCCTTCTTCCTCCAAGGACAGCCTTTTTATGTGGGCATACAATCCTTGCAGAATACAACATTTACTATTCCTTTATCAAATACATTATTAACAGAATTTATATATAGATACCTAAAATAAAATATCACGGTGTCATTATTACCTTCGAATATGTGCTCTGCTAGTATACATGTAGCTACATGTAAATAGTACCATATTTTCTTTGTGTGGAATATGTTAACTGCGAAAATGCTGTGCAAGTTTGGGTGTATGCAGGAGTGTGAGTGGCAACTTAAAATTAAAGCTGAAAACAGCTAGCAAAAAGCTGAAATGTAAAAAAGTTTGCACACTTTTGTACAGACCAGGTGTACAAAAAAGTTGAAATTCAGGGTCAGCTTGTAAACAAAAAACCTGAAATTACCTAAAAAGCTGAATTTTCACAATCCTGAGCACTGCAACAAGTCTCAGACCTTCTTGCATATATTCATTACTTACTGTGCTAAGTATTGGATCAATTGGCCGAGAGGAAGCCGTGTATGAATCAATTTTAAATGTGGCAGCTCGCTGGCAGTTTTCTGTACTGCACTTGGCTATATGAAGGTGTACAGGTACAGGTATACACACTTTGACATGCCAATGTGGCAGGAAATGGGATAGTTATACATGTATAGCTAGGTACATAATCAATCACCCCCTGTGATGGACAACCTATGGAACAGGACCAGATTAAGCTTTCACCCCTATACCTGCTATACATCTATGTAGGACGTGGAGAAGACTTGTCTTCAAAAGTCCAACTTATGCAGTTACAGGATTAATTCTGAATCCATGAGGACCAAGTGCTTCATGTGCACACACTGTGTTAGCCAATCAGATACATGTACTAGACAGATTTGAACCACTGCTGTTTTTGTACTATTATAAGATGAAACTTTCAGTCAAGGGGATAATCCCTTAGTGCTGGATGGTTTGGTGAGAGTGGAGAGTGCAGATAAGTTCACTATGTCACGGCCCTTTGTGGGGAGTGAGCCTTATCTTTAGGAGTGATCTCCTTGAATTGCCTTGATTTTCCAATATGAATTATCCACTAACCAGGTGCAGATCTGGAGGGGGGGTAAAAAAAACCTGCTCTGAGATCACAGAAAAGGTAAAAATGGGGAAAATAATGAAAAATAACTACAAATTGTGCACCAATACCATTGTAAACAATACACATGTACAATGTATATGTCATGTGTAATGTTTCATCATCGTTTCCACTTGTCCACAAAATTGAGGCATTAAAAGAAAATCTTCAGTTTCACCGGCCCCCTCATCCCCCCCAAAAATTCCTTGATCCACCCCTGGTACCCTAATAAAATTCTGAATTAAATCTTATTAATGTTTTTACAGGCTTCAGTTTCTAAATGCACCACTGTAACGTGAAAGAAAGTTTCTCTATAAAAAATAAAGCAAAGAAGTGGAGGCATGCCAGTTTGGGGAGAGGGGGAAGGTTGTAAAGGATACACTAAATAAAGCCTCTCAGGATTGCCCTAATTAATTAAACCAATCTACACCCTCATGTATGTGAACAGGGTGTCGAACAGTCTGCCAAATCACATTTTATGCAATGCATGTAGGTCACCTTAAAACAGTAGGAACCAAGTAGGGCCATCCAGAGCAAATCTTTTTTTCAAGGGAATTTGGTAGTTTTTCTGTACAATTCTCTCCCTTGTTTTGGGGTGGTTTTTTTTTGGGGGGGGGGTAAAGGGGGAATAATGGGCTTTGCATAAATGAAACCGTCAACTTTTTGTCTCAACTGTGCAACTGGATTCTAAATATATGTAGCAGTGCTAAAAGCTAATCCAAAGCTATATACATGTACCACTCGAGCATTACAGGCCGGCTATTGACTCTCTGAAAACTCTGGTGTGAATACAAAGGTTCAAAAAATAAACATGAACACTTACCATGGGTACCGTAGTGCTAAGAATAGATGGTTTAGTGCCATTCACCTCGGACCATGGTGCACAACGATAGTGATTGTAGCGATCACTGATGCAGACCATCTCGACTTCATCACAAGGATTGCTCAGGCAAGGGTTCAGGTTAATCTCGCAGGCATATCCTGCAATAAAACCAACACATAAGTGTACAAGGTGGCTTACATGTGATCCATACAAATGCAAGTGTGACATGTCACAAGTTCATAGGAAAAAAACAATGACAGAGAATAAATGTGTTCCACTTTGGCGATTTTGCAGCATAACTTACATGTATAATTTGGCTGGTACGCCAAAAAATTGCATTTATCTTTTTGGTGATAAATACATGTAAGCTCTCTTTATGTTGACATAGCTGAAAAAAATTTAACTGGCTTATAGGTAAGAGTGGGTACAAAAAAGTATAAACTGATTGCTGAATATTAGATGTACATGTGGTATGTAATGAAAAATAGATACGTGTAGCTGATACTTTACACCAAGTACAATTTGGCAAAATATACACAAATGTTCTTGTGTGACTATAACAAACCCTACAACCTTCTATTTAATGAGTGCCTACCTGCAAACCCAACATAACAACTGCATCTGTAGCCAGATGCTGAATTCTCAAGCTTGCATTCCCCGTTTCCCTGGCATGGGTCAGGTATGCATGGTCTGGGATCCAGTGTTGGTCCCCTTGAGCTTGGTACTGGGTCTGTCCCGGCTTCTGTCACAGCAACTGTCCCTACCAGAGTCTCTGATTCTGTCACAGTGCTGTTCACTAGGTTTGTTGCTGTATCTGTGGCTGGGTCTGTCACCGAGGATTTTGCTGTGGTTAAGGGTTGGCCTGGAGTGTTGCTGGCCTCCTGAGTTAGCGTTAGAGATTCTGCAAAATAAAAAAAGGTTAACTGGCTACAATGCACATAATCTCCAAACACCTGTGTGTTTAATATCATTCACAGTACGGTGCCGGTGTTATGGGATTGACCAATCAGATGTGAGAGTTCAAGTGTGGCATGATGTTTCTTTGTTAACTTTGGAATATAAATATGGGGGTGTGGTTGGGGGAATGTCATCAACTAGAGGATATCAAAAACCAATAGGACCAATTCAAGATGCGGTGCTCGATCCTCCAATCCTATCACCTACATGTAGAAGGCCTTGCAGGTTAACATCAATTTACAGGATGCTTAGCCTGTTGGTGTGCTTCATAATGGCAATTAACTTCCAGAAGGTGAAAAAAACAAGAGCTGATGAACTAAGGAAATATTTACAAGGATTTAGTTTAAGCATACACAAAATTACTTTGAATTTGACTAGGCATGATGACGATCCTAATGCCAACCTTTTCCAAAACTAGTAACTATACAGAGCTCGCCTAGTTGTGACAGTGTATCAAATCACTTCTTTCAAAGGCCTCCATCCGACATGTAAGTCTGTACACCCACAAAGATGTGCAATATTCTTGATACCTGCATGCACATGCACAAGATAATCACATCACAAAGTGTTTTTCACCCTGTCAAAGTAAATGGATAAAAATGCTGGTACAGCCTACAGGCCAGGAACTATTTTGGTTGAGTAGTGCTGTGAATATGCAGATTGCTCTGACAGACCCATGTACATGTATATACAACTGAACAGAACATAAACAAATTATTATAACTGCAGCTGGCAAACACAATATGCACTACACTTGGTTAATTAAAAGTTATCAATCAATTTGCTGAAAATATTTAAATAAGCTGGCATACATGTAGCAACAAAAAGGCACACAAAATGAAAATTGAAAGGGAAAAAGTATTCAGAAAAGCACTGTATGAAGAAAGCAGTGTTTTGCTTAGGCTTATATATTACAGATAAGATACCTGTGCACATTGTCTAATAGTACTAGTAGCTGATAAAGGAACATGAATCTTCACTGAAAGTACATGGCAATCAATTTTTAAGGGAAAAAAAGAAGTAACTGAGGTATTCATACATGTAGGTGCCAATATTTGCAGTTGAATACACATCCCATTTACTAAATTAAAACTGCACACCTGTTAAATTGCCCTGCTGAGATAATTTCCTTGCTCATTATTTTACCCACACGGTAATTAAACAATGCATACAATGTTGCATCCATGTACATGTACATGGATCGATAGATCTTCTGAAGGCTTCCGTGCACACTGCAGGCAGATACTAACACTGGATTCAGATTCTGAGGAAATAATACAATCTGAAAGAGTTGATTGAGATTCACTGGAAAGTGTAAAATATGCTGTGATGGCTTCCATGCATATATCTCCCAGTGGGCAATTTCTGCTGAATTTCATTAATCAGACAAAAAAATACCTTTTTATGGGCACTTGTTGTACACTGTTAATTTTAGCTATTTATTTGTACAGTACCAACTGCATAATTTCATAAAAAAATATGCTCATTTAAAAATAAACGTGACTAGGAATAATGTACGTATTTTTACATACTGCTTCAGTGAATATTGGTTGTAGTAAATACTGATCAAAAAATAGTTCTCATACAGTATTTGTCTCTGGTGCCCTGATTTGTAAATTCCCAACTGAGGTACATGTACCAGCCCCAGTAATGTTTCCCAAGAATACTTCCTGAAATCTCAAAAACCACTGGTCGGAAAACCAATGGCATTGTTTTTGCACTTTTAAACTGCCAAGATTGAGGCATAAAGGCAGAATTTAATTAGACTCCTAATCTGTCCTCCTCCATCCAGTAGAATTTATCCTCAGAACCTTCTAATGGTTTGAAGGAGCTTGGAACAGTACTACATGTATATGTACATGTACATTCAGTTGGAAAAATGATCCAAAAAAGCACTTCTCTATGTTTTCCTGGATGCCTTCATGTGTATGTACATATATAATCTGTTTTTTGCTGGATCCAGGCAGGTTACAACATATTCCCATTTCTTCGTTGTCTTTTTTACTCTGACTTCATCCTGTAATTGGCACGAAATGCACTGTTGGATGAACATTATATGAAATGCCGTAACCTTAAAGAGGGCTAAAAACCAAGATGAGCTTCATAAACATTTTTGTTGGAGCATCAAGATCTCAAACAACTGCAGTCGACATGCAATCTCACCTACTGCCTACATGCACTCATCTATCGCCCACAGATCACCATGACCATGAGTACACGTGCAATATGCTCGCCCACGTACAAGTGAATGAATATGACTCAATCCATATACGGGTAAGTTCTTTTGCTGGTAGTGTATTTTGAAGTTTGTTTTCAACTTATTGTTTTAATCATTTATACTTCAACAGCCCAGGCTAAGAAAAGGCACTGCAATGGGAGACTTTGAGACGCTAGTGGCAGCAGACATACTGTTCCTTTTTCCAAAGTATTGCGCATGATCATATTGCTCATCCTCAGAACTAGGGCCAATATTTGCCACCACCAATCATCTCAAAGTCTCCCATTGTACATTCTTTTGGTTCATTACATGTTTGCTTCTGCAAAATGGATTAATAGGACATGTTGACATGTGAAATAAATTATCCATACATGTAGCATCAACATCTTGGGGATAATATTTTAAAGGTTCCATGCAATGCAGTTGTTTTTTGGTTTTTTTTTTAATACAACCCTGGACTTGACTCAAGTCAGGATCCTCTGTGATGTTGTCCGTCTTTATGCTTTAAATTTGGATATGGCGGTGTCGCAGTAACTTGCTTTATGCCCTCGTCTTGTGTCCACCTATTACTGTGACTTTTACAGCACTGCAGGGGGATACATGTTGTACAGTCTTTGATGTTGACCCCGGATATCGCAGAAAGGTTATAAAATGAGGGTCCGCCTTGTAAGAAGTTGTACGAGCAGCCAAGTGCCACCGTGTGTACAGTGAAGGGATGGCTGACTGGGGCAGAGCAACGAAAGTCTGCCTGCCTTGATCATGTACATTACCCTAGAAAGCTGAAAGTGCATGCATTTCAACTAACCTTATACATTCAATTTCTGTTTTGCTAATTTAAAAGTACATGCCCTTTTGCTGGTATTGTAAATTTCCATATTCATGAGCAAAACTATGACATTATTTCAGGGAGAAAAACAAAATATTCCATTGATTTGTGCACAAGAAATCAATGGAGTTATTGATTCATGCATGCGTACCCTAACCATCTTTTCTTTCATAATATTGTTGTGTTCATGTACATGTATGCATCCATATGGCAAAAATGCAAACATTTCTCAGAAATATTTTGGGTTCCCAATTTGAACAGAAAATCCTAAAACTGAAAAGTAGTACAAGCCTTCTTTGATTTTGAATGACATCTCACCAACAATACCTTCTGTTGTCCAGAAAAGCAGGAGCAAATTTCAGTGTTTAAAAAGAGCATCTTTCTCAATTCATTTAAGCCTAAAAAGGTTATCAAATTGTTTTCATGCATTCAGTGAAGAGAATGGATTTCGGTACCATCATTTAAAAAGACCAAAACACAGCTATTGAACCCAATAATTAACCAAAAATCTGATGTGATCATTGAGTTATGATGTGCAAGTTAAAGAAGTAGAAATGCTGACTACAGTGGATTACAGAAGAGAAAAGCCCACCTACTGTTTTGAAATTGTAGACTTTTTCATGAATGACAAAAATAATCTAAAAACCAAACAGGTTGTTAGTTTGCTGAAACATACTAGTGATGACTTCAGTTAATCATGTTGAGCTGTGAGAGTAATTGCGATCATTATAGTATTTTAATTAAAACTTGATCTTCATCAAGTCCCTTCTTGTTGGTCAGACCATCTAATTAGATCATGCTTATGTTGTAATATACTGTTAGCAGCTTACGTCATAATGAACATAAGCATGTAAATAACTTATGGCATTCAAACTGACCAGTGTCAGTTGCCCATTATGATATAACTAAAAAAATATTTATCACTCTATACATGTACATGTATATCTGTTAGTTTCACAGGAGAGTGAACAAGTACAAGTGAAATGTACATAAAATGATTTGCTCAATATGGAAACTATAATTCAGTCTGACCACAAAGTATAGGATCCCATAGAAATAAAAGGTCAGACATACACAAATAAAGGAAATAGATATGAATAAAGGACTTCAGGAGTTCAAAAGCATCACCTAATTCACACTTCCAAATATGTTTATATAAAAATTACCTGTTGAGTTCTGAGGCTGAACCACCTGTGGAAGTCGCAAGAAAACTAAAACTATCATCAACACGACCAGGAAACCTACTCTGCCAAAAATCCTCCCTACTGCCATAGTGGTAAACTGAACAGGAATGAGTTCACAATCACAGCAGACACTGTCTCTACCATTCACAGAATACTTCACACAAACAAACTCCAGTCATCCATGGTGTAGCATTATAAACATAGTTCGAAGATGACAGGGAACTTCATAATCATCACTTGAGGCATCACTGAAAGTTGTTTTCAAGGAAGGCCAGACTAACACAGAGGAGTCTGAACAACTGCAGACGCACTGACCACAAGCATAGGCTAATTACACCACCTGCTCTTCCAAGTACAAGTAGTCTATCCACTGTCAGTTATCAACAGCCATATTTTTGCCATGCCATTTCAACAGGTATCCTTAAGTAAACAAAGGTTGGCTCAGCCAGGAGGGAATCCAACAAAAAAGAATCCACCTGTGACATTCCTCTGCATACAGGCAAAGTGCACCCTATACACCATCATCCAGCGATCTAACAGGCTATTCATTCATCCCAACCAGCCCATTGCACACTAACAAAGGTGGGTTATTCTTATGCTAATCACTGTACTTTTTTTTTCTTTTTTATGAGGACAATCAGTATTATTTGCTGCCAACGCCTGGGGCAGTTCCATTTGTGACTTAGGGGTGTTTTGAGTTGACAGTCTTGGTTTTCTAGCACACAGAAATCAGCAATGCCCTCTTGTTTGCCTGCTGAGAATATCTATTTGATTTAGATTTGATCGAGCAGTTCAATACTACTATTTCCTTTGAATTCTATGCATGTGTGTGTCCAGCCAATAAAACAGAAAAATAGGATAGAAAAAAGTTATACCGCTCTTCACATTACTCAGTGATGTACATGGGAAATTTCGGTATGAGTTTTCCGTAAGTTTTATAAACATCATGTTTATGATTCCTGCCTATACCTGCTTTCAGTCCCAAAGAAGCTCTGCTTTCAGAGCAGACAGTTTCAGCCTTATTGAAAATTGCTCTTACAATCTGTAATAAAACCATTTTTAGGACCTTTTTAAATGAATTGCAATGTCATAAAAGAATCGTTGAAGGAGAAAGGACCATATGTAAAAATACTGTACCGGTAGGCCGCTTTTTGTATTTTTAGAAAACCAAAAGCAAGTTCGATCTGGGAACAAATGTCAGATATTGCAGTGTTGTAGTCAAGTACTTTTCAGTACTTAGTTCTCTACCAAAAATTTAACTAGTTAGGAGGGAACAAAGCTGTAGTCATTTAATTGATGGTACATGCACAAAGGTAAGATTACAAAGTAAAATGATGACAATAAGAATTAAGTTTTTTAGGACAACTGTACTCAAACAGTACTCAGCCAAGTACTTTCTGAGTACTTTTCTCCGTAAAACTTAAATGTTACAAACTGGGAGGGTCTGGTCTTACATTTAGTATGTAATTTACTTTTGTGCATCGGGTAATATTTGAAATGTGTAAACTTATTCCACCAGCTTTATTCACAACAGCTATATTCCCCATGCTAGAGTAAAAATGGATAGGCAGGGCTTTGTTTTCCCATCGCAAAATGGAATTATTGTCCCATTTTCTATCGGCACTGAATTTTACTCTCAAAATTTCGAATCCCACTGCATCTGTTAATCTCCCTGGCTACGTTACTGAAACAGGCCTAAATTAAAGACTTATCCCCAAAAATCTAATTATCAAACAACAATATGCAAAGAATGCATACAAGTACATGTAAGTGTTACATATGAACCTGCATTTTCTTATTGGTCCAAAGTATGGGCATATGCAAATGGCTGAGAATATCCTCACCTTGGCACTCATTGGCTGTTCCCATGGGGAAGGGAAGATAAGACCCAGGTTGCCATCGCAATGCCTGGTACCCTGCCTGACACTGCTCACAGTTCAGTCCTTCAGTGTGGTGAAGACAGCTGCAATGGACTTGACTAGTTGAGTTGTCAAATTTGCAATACCTCCCATGCAGGTTGCAGTCACAACTAAATTATTGAAATGAAGAAGAGCAGGGAGAAACCACTTCAATGGAATTTTTCCTTAGGAAACATGGATTATATGCCAAATGCTGATCTTGTGCATCATTCATTTTTACAAAAAAAGAAATGGTTTTCAAAGAAAACAAAGCCATACAACTTGAAGGTTCTGTACTAAAACTACATCTTAAAGGACCTTGAAAATCTGCAAATCAAGGGCAAGGCAGTTTCTTGCTCCAACCTCTTGGCAGCTAGTGCAGAAACTGGTTTATTTCAGAAGAAATCTAGCCCATATCTTAATCGATAGCTAGCATGACTACTTGAATTAAATTAATTAATAAACTAATTAAACTAACTGCATCCAAACTGATATGATGTACTAGTTTTGTCAAACTGAAGTTTAAAAGTTTAAACAATCTGAAATGACATTTTAAATGTAATGAGTGGAATTACAACCTATCAAAATTTAAATTGGTCCATTAATGTAAATCATATTACATACCTTAAATCAGCATCAAGACTATAAATCCCATAATGCAATTTGGGTCCATTACTAACTCCATCAATTGAAGAGCCTGCAGGTCGAATCAAGATCAATCTCAGGTCGGTTAGTGTCAGAAACTCCCAGAGAGGTCCACGCTTCTCAAACTCAGCAAAGAAGGACTCCTGATTCCCTGCCATGTTCCCTATCAGGCCGTTTACCCTTCCCATCAAGTCAAACTTGATTACAGACACCCCCGGTTCGGTCTCAGAGCTGATGTTGTGGTTCACACACGAGGGCTCTAAGATCTCCCCTGGGACTACAGAAATGGAGTTCGTCTCCTCCATCCCAAAATCACCCGTGCAGTTGGTGGAGAAGTACTGGTAAATTGCCCACGTTGTCCCTCCGTCTCGCGACTTCTGTAGCACCATGGCCTCAGGTGCCCCACTCCGGAACCTCATGGTGATGTCGCCCTGCAGGATGTGTATCTTGTTGCGCAGGGACACTGTAACGTAGATGATAAAAGGAGACGGGTAGGCATCCCCCCAGGGGACTGACTGCCAGTATGTGCCGTTGCGAGAGTCTAAGATAAATCCGGGTCGGTGAGCAATGACTGGGTCGGATGCTAGACAGTTCTCACACATCTGAGGGTCAGCCTATGCACAGGAAAATAAGATTCATTTTTTTCTCTCCAACTATAATCATAACAGAAGCATAATGTTAAGCTAATTATTCAGTTGGGAAATATATATGAACCTCTTTAAAAGCCAAAATAAAGAAGAAAAAACAACCAAAAAAAACAGTAAACAGATGTAACAAAACAATCATTCCTATAATATTTTGTATTTCATCGTCCCAATAGAATGGCTCATGTGAACGCAGTTAAATAAATACCAATACATTAATTATGCCTAATGTAAATTATCTTTACCAAATACCTGCCTTATATTTATCATACATGTAGTTCATATTTCAACATTTTATTCAAAAGTACACTGTACATTTCATTTTCTTCACATAGGTATTGGAACTTTAAGGGAAAACGAAATGAGTTATAGAAAAGAAAGATGGTACACTGTAACATCCTAATGTTAAAGCCTATAAGCTTGCATTAGGTTTACGCACCAAGGAGCAAATCTGTTGCATCCCCTGCATTCCACAGGTGGCATCCTCGGGCACCACGGAAACTGTTGCTATGTCTTGAGCATAAAGTGTCCGCAAAGTGACCGGCTGGGGTGACACATACATCTGCCGTGATTGCACACATTGCGTAAGAAGGGTTGCCAGACTTAAAGCTATGGCTGGTAAAATGTGCAACAGAAAAGGCATTCTGACCAAACACGCTGCACATTGGACATGTAAAAAAGTTCAACACCATCCTCAGGGCGTAGAAGAACTCTTTTTAATTGTCCAAACAAACAAAATATAGAGCTTCTTCATTTTTGTCAAAGATTTCAAACCAATTATTCTTTTCTCCAGGATTTCAATGGTTCATGTGACTTAATTTATCGAAAATTCCAATGTTGAAAGTCCCCACAGCTCCAGCAATGCAGCTAGTGACAAAGTTCAGAGGCACACATCTAATCCTTCTCTGACGAAGACTTATAAAATGAAAGCAAGTTGACATCAACTGAGACACTGAACAGGTACAGCTTCAGTAGTCATCATGCAGTTCCACAGAATGCTCCAGACAAGATCATTCCAAGTATCCAGTGAGCTTATGTAACCAATTCGTTTGCAGTAACCCAGTTTCCAGCACTTAAATCCACCAATTCCAGCAAAATACAACATACATGTACACTCTCCACATTATCACTCTCCTTTTTTGCTGTTCAACAATTACTTTATTCTGCATGCACACACCACCAATATCCCTAAAACCAACTGCCAAATCCTTTTTATTCACCACAGACAGCAACATATGTTTACGATTAATTGTCCCTTTCAAAAGAATCATAATGGAAGGATGGAATTAATCATCTTCTCGAATAATTAGATTGATCCGTAAGCCAAAACAGAGTTTCTAATTCTGCTTCAAGCTCTAATTTCTTTATGAATATGTTGACTGATTTTAAGTAATATCATGAGAAACATACAAAAGTGAGAGAAGAGCTTTTTTCTAAATCAGGGTCCCTTTTTTTTTGTAAAGATGGAATTTGATATTGCCATGACGTCATTATATCGACCTCACCAGCTCCACCAACTGGCATATTTCATTAAAGCCCTAAAATGTGGGAGTTTTGCTGTACCTACCAACACACATGGCACAGTGATAAAAATAGCATTGCAAGGCTGAGAACAAATCAAATAAAAGACACCTGTTGCAATAAGCAAACAATACAGGGCAATTACACACAAAAGAGAGGAATATCTGGTAGTCACGCACACATCTATCTGTCAAAAAAAAGAAAATACTAAAGAGGGCATGATTTTACCTTTAAGGTCGGCAAACTGAAATTGAAATCTGTCTGATTATTAATTTAAACTTAACCATGCCAAATCAGACAAGATTTTACACTAAAACTTATTCTGCAATATACCATTTTGGGGGGGTTGTTTTGTTTCCAACTGCTTACTTAATATTGTTCATACCATGGTTACAGTGTAGAACATGAAGTAAGTTTTACAATAGTTTGCCTTAGAATGTACAATGTCAAGCAGAGAGATAAAGCACACGTTAAAGAATAACATTTAGGTAAAGGGTGAAGCATAAATTTGCTTCATTCTGAAAAGAAATTGATTTAAGGAAAGTAAAACTTGCTCCTATGATTTCTTTTTCAGAAGAGTGTTTCACCTTTGAATTACAAGTCTGCATAACTATTAGCCTGTTAAAGTTAACCTGGATTCATAAATACCTCGGACACTTTCCCTGTGCAACTTGACCGTGTATTACATTTGATAATGCCCGCTGAGGAGTGTTAATGCCTGCTGCGTAAATCACGCACTGGCACCTGGATACGAAACAGTTTAATCAATTCTGATTTGTGAATATTCTTAGTGTACGCAGCTTGCCACGTGCACCAAGTCCATATAACGAGATTCTTTTGGACAACTATAAAATAAAATGGACGGGGGTGTTTTGGAAATAAAAGTAAAATCCTAGAACAAAATAGTTAGAAATCAGTCGTAGACTTGTTTTGACTCTCTGACTAAAAAAGATATTTATGAATGGGAATGATATGTGCTTGGCTTGTCTTAAAGTAACATTTTAAACAAAGGCTCATGAGACTGACTGCCGATAATGCCCTTGCATGTGGCTTGGGCATTAGTTGCGTCTATTCTCCTGAGCCAGTCTATGAATGTTTAAGACTGGCCAAGTACATATTTATTCCGTTATTAACCACAACATTGCTTGCTTTTAACAACAAAGTAGAAATACATTCCGCTGATGCAAACATAGCAGCAATATATTCACAATGTCTGCCTCAGTGGGAAGACATTCCTGTTTATTGTAGTAACGGCAAATAAACAATTCACACACTTCTTTAAACACAAGACTGTTGTGTTTCAAGCCTGCTCAACATATAATTGCTAAGCAACTTCACTTAGTTAGAATTAACACCATGAACTTGTTAAAGTTCTCAATCAATCAAATCGTATGAGTATTTAATAATCAAATAATTTTTATATATTGAAATATTTCTATTTTAATGATTCACAATACAATAAGAACATGTCTTTAGACACTTTTTCTGTATTTGTCTCTGTCCGCACATTCATGTGTTCTGTGACCACCATCTTTCTAAGTTAATCTTGTCGTTGATTTGAAAATCTGCACCTGTTTTCCAATAAAGCAAAAAAAAATCAATGGCAATGCATATGTAGAATTATAAACAAAACATGTGCCTATGATAAATCATTGTGGCAAACAAATTTGTCTTTCTGTTTCTCATACAGTGCACATGGGATGTAAGGCAGTAATGGGGTCAAGCACCTCCACTGGCCAGGTCTTCTCTAATTTTCACCTTACAGTGACATCCCATTAGGTGGACACAATGCATGTGCACACTGATTCCAGTGCACGACAAAAAGTATGCCAAACTTATTTTTCACATTGCCTAAACCTGTAGATCAAACCTGTTTAAACAAAGTAAATACCCACCTACTTCCAGGTTTTGCACATGCAGTGTAAAATGCAGGAGAGTGCATCAAACTGTGGAAGCTCATATGACAAGGGAGGTCCCACATCCCATGTGAAAATTCCATTAGGCATCATACATTCTTATCAACAACAGCAAGATTTTTACAGTTTCCACCCAGTAAGACATGCCTTTAAAAATACACGTTGCTTGCTGTGAGGTCTTAATGTGGATAAGTGTTGTTTTTGGCTGATGCGAGTCAATCACAAGTCAATGCAAGTCCGTGATGGCTCATCCAGTCATAAGCTACCTGTACGGAAGCTACGTACTTGAAATCAAATGAACTGTGAAAATTCATTTGTCATTGTTCACCCTATTACATGTTTATCCAGTCTTGTGACTGGAACTCTGAAAGACTTTTGACAGACTGACTACAAGACTGGTGTGGATTACTGACGAGACTGACGGCTGAACGCCACAAGGCACCATCTAAAAATACACTTCATAAAGTTGATCTCCTCAGGAAACTTTATGAAATCTTAGTCACAGTATGTTTATACATGTCAGAGGTATTAAAATCAAAATGTTCTATATTTCTAACCCACTAATGAGTTAGTTATCACTATGCTGCTCAAACACTTACGAAACACTACAAACATAAATTTTGCATCGTACGAATATACAGCACTGAATGTTGTGGCAGCCATCTTTGAGAGTTAAGAAACATATGAGCCACAAAGTGTTATTTGTTCACAGCAATATTGACACACGCTATTCCATCAGTGTACTGTGTATTGAGGTCAGCTAGTGGTGTGAATGCTGCTCACAAGGTGCCAACAGCATCCGGGGTCAACTCAGCCTCTCTCTCCATCAACTGCCAAGGGGGTGCTTGCGCACACACAACGCAAATACATTTGGTTCATTCAACAGCAGGAAGAGGACTCAGCAGTGTTGTAGTTGAGTCCCGAGTCACAAGTCCTGAATCAAGTTGTTCAGCCAATTCGGCTTAGACTTCAGTTTTGCTGGTTCCTGTCAGAGTTTGAACACTGCAGTTTCGAACGCAGCTTCAAAACGGATGGAACCAGCAAGACCAAAGTCTAAGTCGAATCCAGTCATTACGAAAATTCCCATACCAACACCACAACCACTTCACCCAGGCCCAAGCAACTTCAAACACCCAGTACAGGCCATGCATTTTTTATTTTCATGCGAGCCTCGCCATTTCGCTAAAAGTGTTCATATTTGCGACTTGTGGACGCTGAATATGTACGTCTGTACTTGCGTGTAGATAACAAATGTGTGCCAAGCACTCAGTTTGTTTACCACCGCACAGTTTGTGGATACGGAATATGACATGTCTGGTTGACTCATCAGTGGATATTTAGCTGTACATAAATGGGCAAGGTGGAAAATGTGCGACGCGACGATACTCCATGCATGCAATCCAGTGTGATAGCACAGGTGCATTCAAATTAATTTTTGACGGCATATATGGTGAATATGTTTAATGAAAATACATGACTCAAGTCATGAGTCACCAAGCTCAAGTCCGAGTCATCGTGGTCGAGTCTGAGTCATTATCCAATAAGACTCGAGTCGAGTCTGAGTCATGAAAAATGTGACTTGATCCGAGTCTGAGTCCTGGACTTGAGCCATACAACACTGGGACTCGGACATTTAAGGACTACACACACATACTTTCATACATTTATATCCATTTGAGACACTAATGTGTTATTGAACTTGTACATCTCTTCTGAAATTTTAAATATTAAATGTTTAATAGTCAAAGGCACTTTCAATTACCAATTAGTCGATTGATAATTTAGATATCAACATTTTTTATTAATTACAGGTGTTTAATTTTATCATGTAGTATGTACACCAGCTATAATTATATAAAAACTCTTAGATGAAAGACACGCCAGCAGAACTGCATAAAAACTAAATGAAGAAAAATATTTCAATAGCAACAGCACGCAAGTCTGCAGAAACTAAACAATGGCACAAAAGGTAGAAGATTGTAGATTGGTAAGAAAAATAGAAAAGAAGAGACTACTCTAATGGCAAGGCACTGATGAAGGTATTTGGTTCAGGAAAACCAATTTTACGACAATACACGTACATGTTATGTGGAAAGAAGATGTATTGAAACTTCTAAATATGTACATATGTGAATTTCAGCTCTGCATAGAAGAAAAAATTGAAAAATGTCAGAAAAACTATCCTAATTACATGTTGTAAGATGGTTCTGAATGGAATTTGTCCCATGTATGAAACTTCAACCAGATACTTAGAGCAAGTGGTTTGCTGGGGTATTATTTTACTCCATGCAAAAGACTGGAGCCACTGCCACAGTGCAAAGTGGCATCACTCCCCTGCGAGTTTTAGCCAATCAATATCATGGCACGCCAGTTGTGTCTTCTTTAAAAAAAATCCTCTTATTAAGAGAGATAGTGGCCACATGCACCACATCATTGGAATGGGGAGCAGGGTCAAAAAATCAAAGAGAGAGTTGAGAAAAGAGTACAATTGAAGAATATACAGGACAAGTGTGATGGGAAGAAAGGTGGAAAACAGAAGAATGTTAGATATCTGATTGTCAATCAATTACCACTGATTTGTCAACTGAAATTCTCTAAATCCAAATGGTGGATGAAACAACATAAGAATCTGAATAAGATTTCAAAATTAAATAAAGAAAGAAAGAAATAATGCTGTTATCAGATGGGAACTCATAATATTTTTTACACTTTGTGCGAAACAGATTATTATACAAGAGGAATGGACAAACAACAACATGAACAAAGGAAAGGCACTTCATTTTCAAAATTTGAAGACTGTGGATGTAAAATGGCCTAAACGGTAAGTGCAGTACTCAGGAGTCTTTTTAACATTATTATTCTACATCCTGCAAAAGTAATACTTTCTAGCACTGTGCTTGTTAGAAATTTCAAATTCTGGAAATTAACAGTTCACAGAATGCTCAGAAATGTGCATACATGAACATGTACTAGCACCTTAAGGCCAGTTCATACTGGAACTTCTGGTGAACAAAAAAGTGAAGCAAACTTGGCATTACAAACTATTTGAAGCAAAATGCATTGAGCTGAAATGTAGCACCTCCTCAAATTGTGTTGATCCACAGTGCAATTTTTGATCTGACATCACAATTCGCATTTGCTTTCAAGCCACTGATGAACAATAGTTAGCAATGCAAGAATAAACAAATTCCTAAGTGATATTGAGCAAATGTGACCCAATCTAACAATAGAGTTGCAAGTCCCCGGGCCATTCTTGAGTTAAAGGCATTTACTGGAATCTGAACAGCTATTTTCACCAGGATGCCTAACTGAGTGTCCCAACAAAAGGATTCAGCTTGCTCATGCATCGCAAACTAAAGTAAAATCACTGGGGGAAAATCCCATTTTGTGGGATTCAGTCACAAAATATGCTTAACTACTATATTGAAATTTCAGTCTTCAATTTGTCAAATTCTTTAACTACATCAAATAACTAAATCTTAGTTGTAATCAAGTCCATTCCATGTCACCTGTTGTCTAGTGACATCACAAGGTCCTGAAATTAAACAGTGACCAAGGTAAGGTCACCGTTCATCTCCTATTTAATGCTTGTCAATTGACTTGTGACATATGCATGATTTGTCATGAACTATGAACTTCAAGAACATGAACTACAACAAGATCCCAGTAAAATTGTTAATAAATACCCAACTCTATACATACACACAGTGTTTGGAACAGGTATTCAATTCTATCTTGGTTCATGTAAAATCAGGTAAAGTTTTCATAAACACACTCAAGGAAATATCACAAAACAGCACAAAACAGCCTTGCAATGTACATTCAGTAAATTTTTTCTGCACTGGTAACTAAATTTAAAAAAAATGTACACACAAATAAAGCTTACACGTTCAATCTTATCTTTCACTAATAGACAATACATAAACAAATCTACAAGTAAAATGTGGAAAACTTGTATTATTGCTTTGAAATCTGGACAAAAGCTTCTCCAGAACAGATACATGTACATCAGCATAACAGACAGGACACCATTTGCTTACATTTCATTTTTGACCTTAATCAGTCAGTATAAACATGGGAGAAAAATGAATGTCATTTCCTGACCTATCAAATGGATCATTTTAGCAACATGCATACATGTAATGCACATACACACACACATGAATACCAGTCTGGGAATGTTGGCAGTGGTTACTGCCATATGGTTAATTTGTATGCAGTTTATTGCCGGGGAGTGCGAATTTACTGAATACGTACAAAAGCGTGTGCATGCATAAATCAATTTGAAAATATCTGTTATGATTTGTGTGGATTTGCTTCTTCGATAGACTGATGAGTAGACCAGTAACGAAATGTACATGTACCAGTACCTGAAGGTAAAAGCAATGTTCACACATGGACAGTATGGACGGAGCTAATAAATTTCAACTAATGAACACAAGAATACCTCTTTTCAAATTAGTTATGACACAACTTATTTATTATGAAGCCTAATCTCTCAAAACAAGACTTTTTATGTGAAAGCCTCTCTACAATTCCAACGAAAACACTTCCTGTTAGATTTAGAGTAGCCCATTTATGCAGTTCACTCTCCAACTGGTCCACATTGGTATGCTTACCTGGAAACTGCAGTCATGCACTGCAGATGTGGGGGGTCCTTTGGAACACAAGAAGTTTCTTAAGAGGTGTGTTCTTTTGGCTGTTCCCATTCCAGCGGGTCCATTTTAATAACAGTCTCTGAATTCATAATTCCAGGGCTGATCGCCTTTCATTGGAGAAAACCAAGAGGCTACAGTACAGGTCAGAATTTCAGCCTACACACTAACACGATCAGTGGACCTGACACGCTGTTCAATACACGTTTCGCTGTTTTTACAGTGCATTGCTGGTCCAATGCACGATAAGCCAGATCCCGGACCTCATTATTTTGCCAGGGCTTGTGACCGCAGACCGCAAAGGTGACCGACAACATGTAGTGAACCTCTGCACACGCAGAGCCATCGCTCCAAGTTTGTGTATGTATTTATGGTTTGTGTATGTATTAATGTCGAGTCTGGCCTTCATGAAGTATCGAAATCTGTACAGCCATTTTCCTAAGGTTTGGATTGCAAAAGTTATTCAGTTGGATTACATCTAAAAAATGTCAAATTTCAGTGAAACTGGCCAATAGTCCACTGTTTGTGTGCAGGCCCGACTTCCTGTCTTTCGATATCTTTGCCATTTAGTTTGGTCGTAACTTGGTCACAATCAGGGTGATTTCTTTTGGTAGATTTTCCTGCTCTAGGGTCAAAAACTGATGGGGAAAAATCGTCACCTCACATCGAATTTATATTCACGTGATTTTGAACACACTGAGCTCGAGTGAGGCAAGTACAGCAACAACTTTTTATATGTATGCTGGGATCACCGCCGTGGGGACTATCTTAACTAAAATTTGGCTAGCTGACCAGAGAGGTCAAAGCCTGTGTATATTTTGTGGATTTCTTATGAAATAGTTTTCTCTAAGTTGGGAAATACTTTGTCATAAAAACTGCTAGTTATAGTTTTCTCAGTTGAAAAATTGATTCACGCTCGAATATTTTCTGTGCCTGATTCAGAAGTTTTTGGAGCAATTCAGACGTAAAACTAAAAATGTTGCCTGCTCCAGTAAACAACGGCCTGGCTGTTCTGGGGTTTGTGTGTAGCATGTATATGTTTATACTCAGCAGATGGGATTGCGGTGTCCGCATTCTCTGTTATGCAGGGGTCAGCGTGTTTCGTGTTTGCGGTTAACTCCTTTCATGTCTGCTGGACTCATTACACGCTGACATGCTAACCATGTTTGCATGTCTGCTAAAATTCTGAACTGTACTGTAGTCCCTCTCCAGATGGCATCTAGGTCACTTGGAGAGTGAGGGCCTCCAACAAATGCTCAATGGACACCCTTCCTTGGGAGAGGTAACAGCTATCAATGCATTTGTCGATGCGGGACTGTTCTAGTCCCAGACGGTAGATCAGGTTGTAGTTGTTGACAAGACTCCGCGTCTCATCCTTGCTCAGGTAACCTGGAAAACAGAGCAAGTCTTGTTGACAAATTAGGCAGCCGGGACATACATGTATCATATCACAAGTTCAGGCACAAATAAGACAATTATAGACAAATTTTCTGAGTCATGTATTCAATTTAGATCTTTTTTTTTAGGTTGGCTCTGTTATAGTCCAGGTTGGTTTTTTTTTTCCTTCATTTTTGTCACACTGGGTTGGATTTTGGGAGCTTTGATCGGTTTCAGGTCGGATTTAGCTCCTATCTATGTTACCGGTTAATATTGCCTGTTCCATTGACCCAGTGCACAACAATACCGCATAGGTGTTCAAACTGTAATGAATTTCACCAATAAGGGTTGCATTCACTGACCAGTATTGGTGCTGTCCAGGTTGTACAACCCTTGAGCCAGGTGCTTGAATCGTGCAAACCATGGCTCATCATCGTCCTTGGCCTTTGCAGCCATTTTGGCTTTTGGAGGCTCCCTTTTGGCCTTGTGTTCCCTGGCCATCGCGGCTAGCTCTGCCCGCTGTGCGTCACTGATGGAGTTGTCCTGCCCTTGGCCGATGGGCGCAGCTTGCAGGCTGGGTGGGGGCGAATGAGTTGGTGATGGAGAGTCGTACAGTGTGATCTCTCGCTCCACAGCAGTTGGGGATCGGACTCCCAGCCTCTGCGTAACAGAGTGCAATCAAAGATAGGTGATTTAACAGTCTAATTTCTGAAATTTTTTAAAGCCAAATACTGTCACAGAAAAACTAACTATTGCACTATTTTTACTCAGTCAATGTCAATTTGTCACAGAAGAAATCACATAATGAGAAGTGTTCCAATTTACAAAGAGGCAAGAGTCACTTTCCTTTTCTAACACAAGTACAGACAATATGTGGTTAGCAAACTCAGGTTATCAGCCATAGCTACGCAGACTGCTTGTTACTGGCTCCTTGTGAATTTTTGTTTGACATATACTTGAACGTATTGAATTTTAATATTAGAGGCTGTCTTACCCCGAGTGGCTTCCTGGTTTCCCAGGGAGGCAGTCCAGGTTCCTGTGAGAGGCCTGTCAGCCCTGCCTTTGCATTGGTCTTGAGGAAAGCATCACCTCTCTGCTTGGGCCAGGTGCTGGGCCGTCCGGCTTCCTGCTTTGCCCCCAGCTCCAAGCCCGCGACAGCCAGGGGCTTGACCCGAGCTAGAAATTCCAGGAAAGCCATCCAACTACGTGCAGAGACAAGATGTGATGAATCACATCCAACAATTTTTTCAAATAGTCACAAAACTTCTCGAGCATGATTTGTGGCTCTGAAATACATGTAGTTCAATGAGTTTTCCCCACAACAATAAGGTACTGTCATTCCACCAGATCCAGTGTTTACTTAATGGCAAGGCACCCAGCATTTAGAAAATGGGGTTTCAACAATGGAAATTAAACCCATACATACTAGCAGGGTATACTTTGATTGCATTTGTGAATAATTCTGCTGTTTAGGTTATTGAGATAACCATTTTAAAAGCAGTAGAATAAACATTAAATAAAGGTAGCCCTTCAAAAAACTTGCCAGGCACCCAAAGCCCAGCATTTGCTACTGAATTAAGAGATGTTCTAGTTTGTAGAGTTTTAAAATTGTGGGTTTAAAAGTTTTTTCTAAAAATTTGAATTTAGAGTCCAATATTAGTGGCTAGCAATATACATCTGTTTGAAGGACAAGTGACCCTGACATGATTTCTTGAAGCAGGTTCATGAGAGGAATAATGGTTTGTAGTTAGAGCTATCTTATGAAAAAAATAAAAAGCAGGTGTCAGTGTGATGTTAACAACAATTATTGCACTATGGTGGCTAAATCAATACATCGGACTTCAGCCAACTTACCTGTACTGGTTGTCAGTAGTGTGGCATCGGTTAAGCAGTTTCTCCATCAATGACCCCTGCACAGGGACCCTGTGCTTGAAACACACTTCTTGAACCTGCAAAAAAGACAACATTTTCTAGTTGAAGCTGTGTTCCACGAACAATTCATCATCTAGGCACTCAAAAACCGTTTAAACTCAAACATGGCCATTTTAATTCCTTTTACTAACATCTCCAAAAAAGTTGAAAAGTATGTTAAGCTACAAGACACTTTTAAGTTTGTGTGCAGGACCCAAATTAACGTCCCTGAACAAAACAATGTTCACCTTGAGTACCAGACTTAGGCTTTCAGTTATCCATTACAGGCTTCAAGAATTACTGCTACAACTGCTGTCTACATGTGTTCACATAATGTAACCCAATGTACAGCCACTGTTGTTATTCAGTAATTTTTATTTTTCAGTTTGCATAACAGCAAGCTCTCAGCTTTTTGTTTTGAAAGCTCACTCAGTTTGGCATCTAGACGAATAGGCATTGTGTGGGTAAAAAAAAATAGATTCCACTGATTTTCAGTGTGTAAGATTCTTTCAAAGGCCTGTTAATACTCAAAAATTGGCTCTGGTGATTTGTGACTCATTTTCAAAGGGCTGGTCACAAAAAGGTAAGGTAACATGACCTTTGGAGGCAAGTATCCAATGTGGTCTGTAATTCCCTTACTACATGTGTAGGTGTGGAATATTCATGCAACTGTTACGCAGCTGCTTTGCAACCACCTCCGAAGACCAAATGAAATATCCACCTGGCAAAGTCAGCCACCAAAACACAATGAAATGCACATTGCTTGTGACTGGTTTTAACTTTGTTGCTCATTTTCTTTTTGCACATCTATTCAAAAGGCAACAGTTTCTGCAGCAAGAGGAGTAATCCAGCTCATCTCAAACACGTACCTTTTCCTTGGTCAGCATCCCTTGATCATTGGGGTCTCTATCTATGAAGTCTTTCTTCATGGCGTGCAGGTCAGTTGGCTCCTGATTGCCTTGAATATACTGCTGCTCCACGAGCATGAGCAATTTGGCATCTTGCCGGTCTGAGAAAACCTGTTGTGGTGTCCTAGGCAGTGCGTTTGGAAATAAAAACAGTTTTAGTGCATGTATATAGTTTTCGTATAGGGAAACAAGGGTTGCATGTATGCTTTCCTATGGAGCTTTGAATCAGTTATCACCGCCTGGCTCCAATAAGAAAGGAAAGAAAGCATGGCATTATCATTACACAGGCCAATCAAAATGCATTCATATCTGAGGAGAAAAGTGGTCACGTGCAAGCCTTCTGCAAATGTTAACAAGTACACACACATCATGACCACCTACATTACCTGTACCAAAGGACTCTACCCCTTTGCATTTAACACACAAAATATTTTGACAATTACAAAAATATGATTAAGCACAAAATATGAGTGACAAAGTTAATTTGGCAATTACTTTGTGAGATCTGCAGCCCCGTTTTCAACTCCAAAACTGAAAAAAAGTTAAGAGAAAACTAATTCATATGACTAACATCTCCATGATACTGTAACTTCTAGGCTGTGAAATGCAGTCAGTATAAATGTTTCTGCTGCAGCAAGCACAACTTTTCTGCTGGTACTGACACAGCTTTTATACCGCAATAAGCACAGTTCTTTTGTGGCAGTTACCACAAGGTTTCTGTTTCAGTCAATTCCACTTTTACGCTGCAGTTGGAACAAGTTTCCTGCTGCATTAACAAACCTTTTTTGCTGCAGTTGACACAATTCCCAACTGATCAGCATCACACAATTCTCCTACTGTCATTTGCCCATAATAACCAAATCAAAGAAATCCATCTCACGTCTGGGTCTGGTCCTGCCTTGCAAGTTGCTCCTGTTCTGCTCTCTCCAAGACTGTTCCATTTGAATCGTGATGTTTTTTCCTCTGGCCGTGATGGTGCTGATGCTTCTCCTTGTGTGCATTCTTTGCCTCGGTCTCGTATCTGGCAATTTGTTCATCCAAGCCTTCCCCATCTGAAGGCAGCAAGTCAGGAGCATTCACAAACCTAGGATGGTCCAAAAATATACATGATTCCATTAAATTGTGATTCTGGCTTACTGAGTGCCCACAACAGGCATTTCAACTCCTTTTTGCCAACAAAACAAAATGAAAGAAAGGAATTTGAACCCGGGGCATTTTTACACAACAGTAACTGAGCCTCTAGCCCTTTGTTCCCGTTTTCCAATGTGTTGATGTCTTTGTTAAAGATCTCTCTCTTCAGATGTTATCTTGTAGGAATATCACAACTGTGTATTCAATGTCATCAGGTGTGTCTGGGCAAAGTGTGCAAATATTCTGTAGAGATATGTGCGTGTTTATCCTTTGAAATCTTTGAAATACGGCATAGACAATGCGTGTCACAAAAATGCCAATGCACTTGGCAAATCTGTAGGAAGTGGTATTATTTGGCGAGATGTATAAGGGTGCTGGCTGGGGACCAAAAAACCAGTACATGCTATGCGTGGCTTAGGTCATGGCTCACACCTATAAGTCAATATGCAAGCAACTTCAACAACTTCAGCTACTGTAACATCAGCGGGCATTTGATTTTGTGAAGATATAGCACGGGTAAAAGTAATTGGCTTTGGGGATTACCTGTTGACTGACTCCTGAAGCAATGTCTCAGCCTCGGCAGTGCCCACCTGGGCCCGCGCCAGGTACTGGATCAGCCTTTCGTAATTGACCAGATCAGGGTTGTCATCCTTGCCAAAGCTCGAGAAGAGCAGCCTCAGGGTGTTAGTGGGGAGGGGCAGGTGGTGCCGGAGGGCAACCATGTTGGCCTGCGGCTGGCTGACATAGCCACACAGCTTGCGGTCATACTCAGCCAGGTCCTTGTACATGTCCTGGAACCTGTAGGCATCATAGTCCTGCAGGAGCTCACGCAGCTGATCTGTCAGGCTCGTTGCCTGGGCTGGCCGGAGTGTGGGAGATTGGGACGGGGAAAGGGAGAGGGAAGGGGAAGAGGACTTACGTTGGTGCCAGGAGTGGCGAGTTGTGGGCGAAAGGGAATTAGGGCTCGGGATGGGGGGTAAGACCCTGTATAAAGATCAAGGATATTCTGTGAGAAACAAGTTCGCATCAAAGGTCGCAGCAGGTAAACTTACAGAACTTTCAATATTGTGTACTGACTGCATAGTTGTATAGTCCACCACAAGTATGTTCATGAGTCCACTCATGAGTAACGGCGAACTATTACAAAGGAATGCTGTTGTAACAATTCATTTGAATAACACGTGAAAAAACCTGTCCATGGGGCAACCCTGACCTGGAGATGGCTGTGTCTGCTGTGTCAAACAAAAAAGATGGTGGGGATTAATGGAAAATGAACAAAAGCACCCAGTATTGCACTTGTAAATGTGTCTACCTACATGTAAAAACACTGCCTCTTTTCAAATGCAGTCTAAAAAAGAGTACACTGCACTCAAAAATTCACAAGGTTATAAATTTTTTCAATCATAATTTTCCCAACATGCAATAACATTCTCAGTGTGAAAATGGAAATTTGTAAGCAAAATTGGTGGTTCTCACGTGAGCGATCCTGGCAAGCTGTTATAGCGCCCTCTTGTGCCATGGATGTGTGAGTTGCTTTTGTCGGCTGGAGCTGTCTGTGAATGGATAACCCCTTCCTATTGGTATTTATTAAACAATGACATTATACATTTTGGTATACAAATTGCACCAATAAGCTAAATTATAGGTTTATATTATTGTTCAAAGAACCCTGTTAACTTGGCAGTATGTGCAAAGTGGCAAAGAATAGCATGGACAGTGTACAAAATGAAAACAGAAATGCACATGTCATTATCCAATGTAAAACTGAGTTAAAAGTTGTTCCTTTATTTTCAAAGAATCCAAACACAATTCAGAAAGTACGCACAAAAAATTACCAACCATCTGTCATGTGAGTCCAAATACAAACTAGCATAAACCAAAAGTGCATTCTAACTTCTGCACATGCATCTCATCTTCCTTAATTTAATACATAGGCGGATTAAGAGCAAATCTTCAATAATTCTCCAAGCATTGTGGATTTATGATTCTATCTGTGTCATCAATGAATATCTTTGGCAATGAAAGCATTTTCCTGAAGTTTTTTATTTGAACCCTAAGGCAGAGGTGCAGCAGATCTGCTATGTACACTGATGAACTCCCCCTGGGAGGTTTGCATACAGTACTATAAAAATAAGGGGCCGTCCATAATTTTCATCATTTTCATGAATGTACAAACCGTACAGGGGGAGGGGGTTGCAATCTCGTGGACGTTCTTTTTGAGTACGAAAAATGATGATCCGTCAACTTGCAAATCGGCGGTCACTTTCAAATTTCACGGGTGTTGCAACATATAGCTGGCTCTTGGCCGCAAGCTTCCTTTATGCCACTTAGTTCTGTTCTGTCCTCTACTAGTATCAGTATTCACTGCCTTTCAGGCCTTGACTTTTCAGGTGTTGTTTTAAACAATGTTTTATTTGAAATTGACATTTCTGTTAACCACAGTAGGCCTACTTACATGTATAAGTGCCTTGACTATAGGGGATTTGGCCAATGGTGCTCTCCATCCATCATCATTTTTTGCCCACTTTTGTTACACTTTGGAGGAGGGAGGGGGCAATGAAAAGTCTACTTTTTTTAGGCTCATGAAAAGGATGAAAATTATGGACGGCCCCTAGAGATTAAGAACCAAAATACAAAATCTTGAACTTACCCTTTTTTCAGAAAATTCCAGTGGGCGTTTCTTGTTATTGTATTCCTGGAAGGGTGGCTGGATTTCCATGGGAGGGGTGCCATTTGGTCCTTGTTGGAGAGGGGGAAGGCTTCTCTGAGAACTGCCAGCACTGACAAGGGAACAAAAGTAGTGTGAAAGTTTTAGCAGAGCAAGGCCATATAAGTAATTTGGGGCACTAAAATCAGATGCTAATCATAACTGCACTAATTATAAGTGTGTTTTATTAGGCATGTGGCCTGATGGGACATGCAGCCTGATGGGACATGCATCCTAGTAGTTTAGGTCTATAACACCAGATCGCAGGGTTGGGATTCAAATCCAACTATGAGGTACATGTAGGTATGTGTTGTGTATGTGTCTTCACAGAATCATCTGTATACCATAACTGGGCAGGCCCAATTACAGCCTTACAGTTGGGACAGTCCCAATTATAGCTTGACAGATGTGACAGTTGGGACATCACATTACCACACCTGCTTGGGGGAGATTCCACTGCAATCTCGATCTGCTTTCCACCGACGATTTTGATGTTTCGCTTGGGTTGTATGTCTGTGCCAAAGGGGGCATTCCTGGCAGCGGAATCCACCTTGCCTCTGTGACTTGTCATGTTTGTCCTTACTGCTGCTTCCACTCATGAGGACTCTGATTAATTTTATTCCGATGGTGAAAATGAAACGAGTCAAGTTTAATGGCAGATTTAAAAATGCCTGTCTACTTCTAGGCTTCAAAGTGAAATCAGAGTGATTGCAGAATACCCCACCACTCAAAAATACACCTCTGAAATCATTGGTTAAGTGGGTACAAAGTGGAAATCCCCATGAGAACTAGGCCTATGTGACATTTTGACCTCATAGTCGGCTACGAGGTGGATCATGCCAGGTAGTGGGCTATTCTGCAACTGAGCAATGAAATCACTTAGCTTGTGCAAAATGTTGTGCCTAGGGCTTAGCCTAGCTCTACTGAGTATGACCAGTCCCATCCGAAATTCAAAAAAGAGGAATAGGCCTATTAACGCCCCACTCAGTAGAGCTAGGCCTAGCCTAAGGCTATGCTCTAAAACAATACTAGAGACCAGAACTTGGCAGGCATGGCATGATGGCAGGTTAACTATCGAAGACCTTGCTTTTGCCTCATTAAAATTGTGCATGTTGTTTCGAAGAGTGAGAAAGGATGGCATTGCTTTGCATGTTTTCTGTACTCTCAGTTTCAATCTGTAGCAGCAGGCTTCCAATTACCGTCATCAATCGATGACAGCAGTATCAGCAGCACAGCGCAGTAATTTATTGAATGACAGTGGAAAAAATTAGCAGGCTTGCAAACTTACACTAGCACCCATAGCATCTGCTAGATAGAAATCCGTCATGACAACCAGAAGCTGTACTTAAACAATTTTCCTCAAGTAACGGTCCAAATTAAACATATCGAATTGCCAAAAACTGAAAAACAATATAATTTTTGATTTCGCGACAAAAGTGTTCGCCTAGATCTTTGCTCGAATTCATTTGGCAACCATAAACAAACTACGTGTGGTCTGCACCCGGACATTACCGCCCCTTACTTTATGCACGCCGCAGTCCAATACTAGACCAAGATCAACTCAATTTGCATATCAAATTGATTACAGAGGGCGCACAACGATGTTCGTTAGCTGGATGTTAATCTGGCCAGAGGGTAATCGGAAAAGGAGGTCGCATAGAACAGCGGGCATCATTATGCATTGCGTATCAATGTTTAAACTTTTTAAAAGTCGTTTTAACTTTAATGAATCCACAATGCATGGGCTCAATAAATCAAAAATATTGGTTAGAAAATTTTCATATAATAAACATTTTGATTTGAAGGTAAATGGTCACGTCGTTCTACGTGACCTTTTCCGACTACCTGATGGATTTGAGGGTTTACCAAGAGAAGAGCGTTAATATAAACAATTAAATTTATATTGTGCTTCCTCGAGGACACTCCTGTTCGTAAGCGCATTACACAGTTAAAATAGTGGCAAAAATTAATATAAAAGACCAACACGTACACAAACCAAAAATGAAGAAAATTACAACTAAAATGAAACAAATAAAGTATCATTAGTTGTTTATAAATATTCTAACTAAAAAGAACCCATGACTTAAGCTTGTAAATACATAGCAAAGAACCCACACAGTATAAATTAAAAACGCATACAAAATGAGCGAATCAAATTAAGGTACTATCCGCCACACAGCACTAGCTCATGAAAATGTGAAATGTAAACTATGGGCATGTATCACAGAACAGCAGAAAAAATGTAAAAACCTCACCGATAAAAAGCAAGACTTGAAAAATCAACTATAAAAGTGCATTAAAAAGAACAACAAAAAACTATTGATATGCCGCACGCAACAGAAACGAACCCTCCCCCATAAAAATGGTAACACAGGTAGTTAGGAAAAAAAGATCAATAACAATTAATTAAAACACGAGAAACAGAAAAACGTAAAAACCATTATTATAAAAAATGGCTGAAAAATATATATATACCAACGAGCAATGGTGAAAATCAGCCGGCTATAAATATACTCAATTCCCATCTTCCCTGATATTAATATTAAGCACAAATTCAAAATATTCCAGTTTATTCCAGACAAACAAGCTGCAAAGAACAAAAGACCAAAACAAACAGGAAAACGTGAAAGAACAACGAAAATAGCTATTCATCATATGCCTCGTGAAACAGTTGTGTTTTCAAGCCTGCTTTAAATATACTCAACCTCTCGGCTTCCCTGATGTTAATATTGAGCTTATTCCAAAGCAATTGGCCAATAGCGGAAAACATCCACCAGCTGAGTTCAACTTAGTTCTTGGGCGCACCAGTCTGGATCACTAAGTAGACAAAAGTGTGTTCCTTACAGGTGTCTGAATTTGAAGTAGCTCGCAAAGGTAATCTGGCGCAAGACCACGCAGGCATTTGAAAACCAGCAGACAAACCTTGAAGTTAATCCTGTAACGTATAGGTAGCCAGTGGAACTGCATTAGCACCGGTGTAATGTGCTTATGTTTCTTTAGTTCCACCCAAGAGTCTGGCAGCAGGGTCGAGACAGGTAGCCCAGCCAGCATTGCTGCGGAATCTTCAATCCTCTGTAACTTAGACAGTTGTCGAGCTGACAATCCATAGAGCAACCCATTACAATGATCCAAAAATACTGGTATAAAGGCGTGAATTAAATTGTCAGTGGTCTCGGTGATTAAAACTTACTGATGCGTTTTATGTCATGAAGATAATAAATATCCCGCGGAACAAAGTTGGTGATGGATCCGCTAACAGAATTGTATCCAGCGGAACAAAGTTAGTGATGGATCCGCCAACAGAATTGCCAGCTTATAATTCTGAAAAGTTTGAACAGAACGTCCTAATAATTCTGTTTTACAACAAAGCAGCACAGATTTTTAAAATTGCAATGGGTTTCACGATAACGTTTATTCATAGCGCAGGCCCATTTGGATAGAAATTTATGCCAAACTTGATCTTCATTTCATTTTATGTGTGCTAAACATTTCAAAAACTTGTATAATATGATTTTTAAAAGGGGGGATCATTGCAACTTACATACTGCATGGTCTGCAACCTGTAAAAAAAAAAAAACTGATCATAAGCATAATATGAGCTCAATGAACAATGCTGTTGTCCTAATCCTTTATTCTGCGATCTACCCACATGTGGTTGACTGCCATCTATGCCCGCATTATCAGCCTTACGGTCAGCCTGGATCCACTGTGCTTACGGGTACTAGACTAGTATAAGCTCTGAGGGAAAGAGACGATCGTTAGCCAGTCAGGCTGGTACAGCTCTAAAGTTTCCCTGTCGTCCCCACTTTGCATGTTGACGAGTCATATGGAGACAATTTTCGAGTTTCCTTTATGAAAAGAATTATGCCTGCGGGCCGTAGCCAATCTGTGGTCCATTCAACCATGGGCTATAAAAAAGGAGCACGTACCATAGCTTCCTTTAATTATTCTTTGAATTTGATGACATACACCAAAAGTGTGTGCTAGCTGCTATTGAAGCTTGAACTCATCCAATGGTAACCACGCAGGGAATGGCGTTACTCCAAAAGGAGAGGAAAAGAGAACGTTTTCAAATGTGATTTGCGTCAGTTTTATTTTCTCTTTCGCCCGAGATGAGCCTGAGAGCGGGTAATAAGTACTAAAATGTTGCCACAACCGTGATGGCCAGAAAAGGTTATATAAACAAGTTTGCCCCACCCCTCCCCAAGATATAATCTCTCCCCCTTAAAAATTGGTTCATGTTCCCCTTTTGCAGCTGTTGTGGCCAAAGAGTCAAGCTGGCTGTTGTTGAAAGACGCGACGTTTGGGAGTTCGAATCCCCGTGCCGTCTGTTTTTTTATTTAGCGCATGCTACCACATCTACGGAGGCGTACATAGACGACTTGCACTTAACTATCTCGCCGCGGCGAGTTATTATCGTTGAATGTCTATCTCGTCTGGGCGAGTTACATGATCTTGCTGCGGCGTCAAATTGACATCCCGCCGCGGCGAACTTAGTTTCATAAATCCTATGATGTATCATCAGGGTGGAATGCAGTGAGATAGGGTATCAGATTGCTTAAAACAAAAAGAGATGTGGTATTTCAACAAAGCTTGATTTCCAGCACAAAAAACAAAGGAAAAACAAAAGAAATCTCATTTGGGGGCATCATCTTTGCAAGTGGAGTAGACTACTTCCTTGGTAGACTGCCTGTTTTTATTTGTACTAAACAAATAATCATAAAGTTCACGTATGAAACAGCAGAGGGGGACCCTGAACGAATGATTGAAAAGAAAAACTGCCAAAGATATGACAAATAGATATGAAATACTATCAAAATCATTAATTGGCGGCGCGGCGCATATTATTGTTTTAGCTAAACGGTTTGCCTCTCCCCCGCCGAAAAAAAAATCCTTCATATTTTTAGCCAATGTATACCCGCCGGTAATTTATTTACACGTTTTAGTCTTTCCCGCATTGATGTTCTATGTAACTTCATCGTAAGTAAAATGGTTTTTTTTGTGCTTTTTAAATATAATGGTTTTTATAATGATTTCAATTTTTAATGATTGTATTTTAATTGAGGGCTCTATGGAAAGCAGAGCTGTGCACTGATAGAGCTTACCCTCATGAAAAAAGACTTAAATAAATAGCTTTGTTTTGAGACTTAATTCTTCTGGACTGTCTTCTGATTTGTTTTAAGGTACGTGGCAAAAACCCTTCCGAAGCCTCCGTCGCGTAGGTATACAATGATTACTATGTATAAAATTTTTAACCCTTGCGAACTAAGCAAACTTATCATGCAGAGCAGATTAGATAACAGCTGAATCGGAATTCTTTTGTCATATAATGTAATTCTTTCTATCATCTGTTTTCATCATCCCTCTTTATATAGTCCGTTTTGCCGTCCCAGTTTGCCAGAGTTGTAATGACAGAGTTGTGAATGACTCGACTCTAGTCGCATTTTTGAGTGACTCGACTCGACTCGAGTCTCTGCTGTGAAATGACTCGACTCGAGTCACAAAAATCAGTGACTCGTTACAACTCTGGTACACATGTACATGTACATACATCAGCATATGTTTGCATGGATACATGGTTTGAACATTGTGGCTATTGTAACCAAGTGTTGGAAACCGTTACTCAATAAAGTAAGGTTGCTGGCCTAAACTCCATCTAATGTATGTTGGTTTTGAATGGTCTTTAGTCGTACATTTTGGTTAGCAAGACAAATACAGAGAGCTTGGGCCGGTGACCTTATTTACTGAGCCACGGTTTTTTGCACTAAAGCAAATGTTTTGCTTTGGCATCTCTATGAAATTGACACCTGGTGAGGCAAATCTCCAGGGCTTTCTCTTAGGATAAGCAAGACTACTGAAACCTGCAGAGTGATTTTATTGAGTGCAGTTTTTTCACACTTAGCAAATGTTGTGCTATGCTCCTCATTAATAAATGCAAAACAGCAAACAAATTCCTGCCTCTTGATGTTTATTTATTATGTGTCCAAATGTTTGTGACTCGAATTGACTCGGGCAAAATAAATGACTCGACTCGACTTCTCAGTGTGATGACTCGACTCGAGTCTCTGCTGTAAAATGACTCGACTCGAGTCACAAAAATCAGTGACTCGTTACAACTCTGCAGTTTCCTTCTTAATCATACTTATCGTACCCTTTGCTGTGGTAATGAAATAGAACAATGAAGAAAAAGGGAAGTATTTTGGTTTTTAGTTTAGTTTTTAAACTTGAAAGATTTATACTTCTCCCAGTACCGTAGTTGAAATTTTACAATCTTTTTGCTAGAAGTTTCTAATCAGGACCTTAGGAACTAAGAAAAGGTAATATGTCTGGGGAGTTACCCTCACCCCCCCATATCATGGTTTGCAAATAAGCGCCCCTCCCTCGCGCTCCCTGACCACAATCAAGGGTTGCAAACAAGTTAACCTGAAGTATTCGACCAAAATGGGTATCGCTATTGAATAAAAACGTGCATTCGGTGTAAATACTTTTAACCGGTACCCGGTAGCTTGATGTACTACATAGACTGAATTTCGTGCTAAAGGGACCAGTGAAACATGTTCTGTATACACGTTTCGCGGGATATTGATGTGAAATGCTTGATGAATGGTGGATCTCGTCGATCGATCAGCGACTTAAATGACAGCAATCTTTCCGCGGAGTGAACTTTGATTCGCCCCGCAGGCACACTATGCATGAGCCATAGGGCTGTTTGTGAGTATTTGTGCCGATTAAGAACGATATTATTGCTGGTATGCGATAGATAACTCATGATATCG